ATTTGAATGTCCAATCATGATGCTGTCATTTTTCTGAAAATTCAGAATATTTTATTATCTTTCCTGTAGAATTTCTGTTTCATTTCATCAGAATATCACTAATAACAAAATGCTAAAGGTGGATGTGTTTAACCAAGCTTTTTGTCTTTCCCAGAAAATTATTCAGAGAAAATATCAATTCTATTCAGTTCAGATTAATGGAATGTGTAATCTTTAAACTGAGCTTCTGACAGAGAAGCAATGTTCCATGCCCTTTTGCAATCTTTAAAAAACTGGGTGACATTATTATTATTTTGGTTGGAAGAAGCAAAATTAATACATAGCCTTGGGGTACAGAGATTCATGTAAATAATGTGAAAATATCAATAACATCTCGCTTTCTAAACCTACAGTGCCACCCATTTATTAGAGGCCAAATCTCATTGTGTCCTAGTTCACACAAACCATATTGTTGCCATATGTATTCAAATTAAATTATACAAATCCTTTTATGTATAACAGAATCTAAACAATGTTTGAACATTATTTAATAAAAAGCACAGGAAGATAATCTTCACTCAGATTGGAGTATACTAAAAAGAAATATTTAATTCCTTCCACTCACGTAAACTTGATGAAAATTGAACTTCTTCAAATGCCTTGACTGATTATCTATCATAAAATTGGTGATGATTACTAACCTAATAAATAAATTTTCTTCAGAACAATCTGTTCTTCCATGTTTTTTTCAAGATAGAGGCTATGGAGTTTTAAGGACCTTCAATGGAAATAAATATTTTCAAACATTGTGACCCATTCATTTTAATCATTTTTGTTTATTTTCATTTCATCTATATTGTTTTGATACAGAAATTCATTTATAATCCATTGTGTTTTACAACTTCCCCATTATTATATCCATTCATTTCTCAATGATCTCCTAAAAACAAAATCTCATTTGCACATCCTGACTGGAATAAACCTGACTGCACTTTCCAAATTCTGTTCACGTTACCTCTTGAATTTTGTTTGCCAAAAACATTCTCAGGCACACCTAATACCCAAATCATCCCCAGTATTGACTTTACAAAAAAAATATCAAGGAACAATAATGACATTCTTCCAATTCTCTAACGGATGCAATTTACAACTGTACATACACATCAACCAAGTGCAAAGCTTTTCCATAAGGAAACCACACCTATATTTTTATATTTCTTCACTTATTTTTTTCAATATTCTCACAGCATTCATTATTTTTATCAGTTTTTTCTTCTGGGACACTGAATTTATAGTTGCAATTTCACTCCTTATATATCACTATCATTTCCAAGCAAAATTTCCAGAATTGTCCATACATTTTCTCACTTCATTTTCACCCCAATCATCTCTTTACTTTCATTTTGAAAATCATTTCTGCTATTGGAGGCCTATTTAGCTCTTTTCACTTCCTTGCAGAACATTTTTTTAAATTTCAATCAGTTCTGCTTTGTATTTTTTTCTCTATCTTTTAATCTTAATTGTTGCCTGTTCTCTTTTATTTTTTTCAACAATCTCTTTCTCTTTGTAAATAGTATAACATATCTTTTTGTCATTCTCGTTTCATGTTGCAATCATTCTCTTATGTACATTTTTTTCTTCATCTCAGGCTATTTCACTATTATTCTACTAGACATCTTATTTAATATTTACCATTAATGATACTTCACACTTTTGTATGCGGTCTGCAAACAATTATCACCTGGTGGGAAAAGACAATGAAAATGCATTTCTTTAATTTGTTCTTTACTATTTATTCCACTTAAATTCTCAGTCAGTCTTCCTTTGGCCATTATCATCACTAGACAATCTCATGGATATTGACCTACATCACCAATTATGGGTTGATATAAGGCATTTTCATAAGATAAAACTATAGAACACTTTTTAGACACATCTGTTCTTCATTTAGCACTCCCTCCTAACAATAATGCAACCAGTATAGATGTCAACACTGTAACAATGGATGTTCCTGCTCTGACAACTGAGGGAAATTGCAGCCATTTTTACTTTGCTTTTAACATGCTTTTTCTTCTGTTTAGAGATCAGGTGTTGAAGGGGGGAATGAGGTAAATGCTTGAGCTCAGCTAGCCATAATAATAATGTAGTTCCATGGGAACTCAAGGACACAAACCGATAACATTTTGGCAGACTGTGGAGCTGGGGAGAGAGCCCATGCTCTGGGATAATTGGAGAATGTAAATTATGACTGCTTAGTGGAGGTGGGTCTTGCAACTTGTTACTTTGTATCTGGGGGAAGGGAATCTAGTTTTGAGTTCAACTATGTAGTGCTGATACTTTGTTTCCTGAATAAAATGTTCTCTAAGGAAGAATTCTTGCCTTAAAGTTCTTTAAGGGATTTCATCTATTGGAACCATGACAGTAGAACCTTTTGGCCAGTATCTCACAAAGGAAACTAAACTACTTATCATATTCTATGCAAGCTAGGATCTGTAATCTAGAGATTATATAACCATAAAGCTTTAGCCAACATCCCATCAACTTGGAGATACATGAATGTATTGACAACAATCAGTCAAATCCAGGTAGCAAAAGTTGTGATTAATAATTTGAGATACTTGAGTCCAATGGTGATAGGATAAGTAACTTTATCTTTGATAGGAATTCTTACCCTCTCTGTCATCCCTTTAGGTCAGGAAAAGATCTCCATCTGTTTCTTTAGATTGGCTAAGTAACATAATCTTAAAATCTGATTAATGCTTCCCTCTTGCCTCTTTAACATTAATGTGAATTAGGGGACTGTCTATTTGACACATCACTCTCTGGATTCTAGCAGTGTTTTTCTTTTGCTTGCTTTAGTACTCAAACTTCTCTTTGGCCACAAAAATCATCCTATGTACTCTTTACAATTTCTATGGGTTTTTTTTTCTCAACCTCTCATGTGCTCTTGTGCTTTCCATGATTTATTATTGTTTTTTCCTTTCCTAATAGAGTTTTCCTCTCTCATGTCTTGCAACAAACATGTCCTGGCAACATTCATTTCCATGATACAGATTTCATTTTGTCTCCAATTAATAGTTCCTTAGCTATTCCAGTGTTGCAGCATTTCCCCCTTATTCTAACTCCCATCTAAGATCAACTTTAAAAGTTGTAGAATATATTAGGCTTTTCCATCCTTAACCTTGAAGGAAAATCAGATCTACATTAGAACCACTTTAGTAATTAATACTGCAGTTGCAAACGTTATTGATGACATAGGGAAAATGCCAAGATGTAAAATATACTTCCTCTAGAGTTGCATTGCCACCGCCTTAGGCAAACTACAGACTATAACATATCAAAGGTAATGCTCATATTATTGAATTAGTATTTGTTTTAGATTGTAAATAGCCAGACAGCCCAAAGATCAACAAACAAGTTGACAATAATGTAATATGATATTAAAATTAAGTAACGATAGCAAAGTAGTATAACAATATAAATGGCACTACTCCCTCTTCAAGATAATAAATTATATATGAATTATACATTAATGACATTATTGCAATGTAAAGAGGAAAAAAAAGCACATATCTGGCCTTTCTCACAGCTAAAGTCACAAGGATCATGGAAACACAAAGCCCAGTAATTTAACGTGAGAGGAGTGTTTCAAAAGCAAACTTACAGGCCATTTGGAGCTAAGCAAATTGTTGTTCCCAATCACATCATCCTACATGGGTATTTTATTTCCAGACAAGCAAAGCATGACTTTCAAAATGGAACAATTAGGTTGGGTATGAGAAGGATATGTATGTCAAGCATAGCGAAGTGTCTTTGTGCCATGGCAAGCAGGATATGAGAATGAGCCCATTTGTGTTCAGTGGGACTATTCTGTAACAGCTCATTGGCATTGCTATAGTCATAAGCATGCTTATGAGAAAATCAATCTCTCTACAGAAAATAACAAAAGTTGGTATCCTGGTAATGCTTAGTAACAAATGTTATTAAAATAATGTTTTTATGTATAACACTTCATCAGACAAACAGTGAATGTTCTTTTGAACATGTATAAATGTTGTGCCATAGAGCTGCAATAATTTTATGCATATATTATAAAAATCTCAGTCATACCCATCTCAGTCATACCCATCGTACCAGGAATGTATTAATAATCAATAATACAATTTTCACTTTCAAATCACAAAATTCTTTGCCAGTTTACAGACAGACCTATACTAGCTCCACAGTCCAAAAGGCATTGCTTTTCTCCCCAAAGATTTTTCCTGGTAAGAAGAAAAGGAGTAATTATAGCAGAGTATACAGAAATGTTCCAAAAAATTGACATCTGGTGCCTTTACTTCATTAATGTCCTACTTTACGCATAGAGCATAACTGTGTTTGCATAACATATTGAAGCAAAAAGTAATAAATTTATAAATTTTAGTGACTGTGAAGGGCAGATTCAACCCCCGTCTGCATTTATGAAATCATAGCAAGGAGCTTTGTAAACTTTCAGTTCAATCCCCTGCTCAGTGCAAGAATTCATATTAAAGCCTCCAGATAGATGGCCATAAGGAAATCAGTAGCCTTCTGAGTAATTGTTAAAACTATTTATACTGTTAGGAAATTTCGTGCAATATGACAATTCTGAACACTTGGTAAAATACCTGCGGACATGTATGGTGAGCCCATCCCAGTTTTTGCATTTTGGTTTGTTTTTTGTTCTGCGTGAACCACAGGCTTCGTAAAAATCAGTGGTTTTATAAGCCAGACCGAAGTTATGTCTAGAAGGAAAGATGCTCAGAAGGCATCCCGGCATTGCTGCTCAGTAGGAAGAACCGCCTACCTCTCCCTGATTTTGTGAGCCATCGATTAGAGATGGGTTCTTGTGCGTTTTCTAAGTGCCGAGTTCAACGCGCTTTAGAGCGACCGTTTTCAGCTCGGCCCGCTTGCCTGTCGCCATAGCGACCGTTCCAGTCACGCGGCGCGTTTGGCCACTTTGCTCTTTGCACGACCTACCAGCCGTGGACAGGAGCGACGGACAGAGCCCAGAGCAGCGAGAAGGGACGCCAGCGCTGCCCCCAGGACGTCTCGTGTATCCCTCTTTCACCGGGCTAGGAAGCCACGCGTCAACTCTCCCTGATAAAAATGTCGAAAAGGTCCGTTGATGCCCGACAGACTTCAAAAGCTTTTCAATGTGGTCCAGGAGGGGGCAAAGAAGGACCTAGTATCAGTTTGGATGAGCACCAAATTGTTAACGGGGTGAGTCTCATCACCATCCCGCTCCTTCTCGGGCAGTTTAGCAGGGGGTCTGTCTTTAAGCCCTTTTCTCCTAGAAGATCCTTTTTCCCCCTTTCCTAATAAAGAAACCGTTTTCGAATCAGAGAGAGCCTTTCAAGTCCATATATATGCCCTAAAGGTTTTGAGGAAGGAAGTATCCCTTTTAGCCTCCCTTTTAGACTGTGCCCAATCCTATTCTCGTATTGGAGATTGGCACATAAAATGATGTGTTTGGCTTGGGTTTAGATCAGTGGTTCTCAACCTATGGGTCGGGACCCCATTTGGGGTCAAACGACCATTTCACGGGGGTCGCCAAACAACGCAGTCCACCATTTTTTCCCCTTTTCCTTAGCTGTGCTACTCCCTTTTATTCTATTGGCTTTTGAAAGCCAATAGAATAGACTCTCTTGAATAGAGTCTAATTCTATTGGCTTTCAAAAGCCAATAGGAATTGTCCAGGCTGTCTCTGCCCTGCTGAGCCCACCAAAAGTCCCATTCTGCAAACGGTGCTGCACCAGTTGAGTAGTCCTCGACTTACGACCGGTTGAGTAGTCCTCGACTTACGACTGGTTGGGGGTCGCGGCATTAAAAAGGTTGAGAACCACTGGTTTAGATTATTGTGGGAACTGTGGATGACTTCCTGAAATGTGTACGCCCAGCCAACTGCAGTTTATTCAACAGTTATGATTTAAAAAATATGCCTTTGAGTTCGTTCAGACTCCTTTGTGAAAGTGTGCTATCTATATTCAGCCAACTATTAACCTAGGCAGAAAATCAGGTAAAGCAGAATTAAGGTGATACATGAACCCAAGAGATTCTATTTCTTTATCAAGATGCCAATCTGTTCTTCTGCAGGAGAAAGAAGTATATATACAAAAGAAGAAATAGCAGCAGCAGAGCTTAAATTTATCCTAGGAACAGCAAATTTATTCCCTCCAGATGTCTATGGAGAGTCTCAGATATCCTGATCATGGTTATCCCAAAGGTGCCTTTTTTCAAGAGGCAACTGGACTCTTTTGTTTTTCCTTGAAGACATTTTGCTTCTTATCCAAGAAGTGAAATCAGAACAGCTTCTTGATGAGGAGCAAAACATCTTCAAGGAAAAACTATGAAAGTCCTATTACCTCAAGCTGTTGTCATCTCTGTTACTTGCATGCTTTAACTATCAAACTTGGAGCAAAAGACAATGGAGTCTCACAGAATGGTTGTTCTGAAGAGCATGGCCGTGTAACTGCCCCTTATATAATGTAGAATCTTTTTGTAATGCTTATATTTATTCTATTTATTTATTTTTCACATTTTTGAACCACTGATGTGTCTTGAGGCGGGACTCTGATGTACAATAATTTTTTCTGACACAATCTATTTCCAGATTTTAGAAAAACAACTAAAAATTTGTGGCTATAGGAATGATAAAGAAGTCACAGATCTGTACCTTGGAGAAAAGTAAGTTGTTTGCAGCTGTTACTATAATTAAGCTATACTATGTAAGACCAATGAATATTTCAATGGCAGACAGAATATTTTTTTGGCTGTTTCTTAATTTATGTTTTCCATTATTTTAAATCAAAGTATGGTATCAGCTTTACTGTTTAGTCTTTATTTTATTGGACCATTACTTATTTTAGCATGGTCTAAGTACCAGAATTTAGAAAATGTTCCAAGTTGATGTCACAGAAATAATTGTAAATAAGAATCATTCTGCTTCCTCACCAGCAATTTTTTTACATACTTTGTTCCATGTTAGTGATCGCCTAACTAAAATTCTCTCTCTCCCCCCTCTCTTTTTCCCCCTCCCTCCCTCTCCATCTCTATCCCTATCTTTTTGGAAAGAGAGGGGAATAATAAAGATGCCTTTGAGGTATTTTGGTTCTGAGGTTATCCATGCCAGGAGACTAGAAAATTAAATCTTGTTGTTGCCACCACCTCTTCTTTATTCTGAAATTCTGAACCAATTTCCATTAGGCCAATTTCCATTAGGCAACCAGAAGAGGACTAAATGGATAATCCTCATCCCTGCCTTGGATCTGACTGAACTGCAGGAAGAGAAACCAAATAACTGTGGGAGTTAGTAGCTCAGCCAAGCTGAGGTAGATGCTAGAAGCCATCAGTAACTCCAGAATTTGCTTTAAAAATCAACTTTATTAAAGATGACAAAGAAATATAAGAGTCTACACACATGTACAACACTCAGTTAAAAAGAGACAAAATTTAACCCCCCTGCCACAATTCTAGTCATAACAAAACAATCTGGAATTCCAGCCAACTCCCACCTCCCCTAAAAAAAGTACAAACTATCAAACCTGTCAGCTGCTTCCCTCCAGATCAAGTTTTAGAAAATGAAAGGATAACAAATGCAGACATTTACCTGAAATATAACACTTATGCCAAAATACATGTTTCTAAAGATCATTGATTTCAATTGTTTTAAGTAAACTGTGTCTAATTGCATAAGATAAATTTGTATTTGTTTTTCATAATTTGATACTCATATCAGCAAACTGTGATTTCTATTTTTCTTATCTGTATTTAATCCTGATTTTCAGAATGGAAAGGAAGAGCAGAGATATCCATTATTTCAATTAATAGTTTGTTGGATTAGAAATAGTACCTCTGTATTATCTGACCTGAAGTTCTGTTTATTGGAAATGAAATTGAAAGTAGGCTTAAAAATGGCAATATTAAAAATCAGTGGGAATATTAGGAATATCATCTTAAAATATTGTGACAAATCTCAAACCATCCATCTTTAAAAAATTATAAAGACTAATTTTAAAATCACTGAGCTAAAATGTATTAGATTTAAAATCATTTATCAGAGATTACACTGCCCAGGATTGTTATTATATTACATATGTTAATTGACTAATTAAATGTCTCTTATGTTTTATTGCATTTATTGTCATTAACTGCTTAGTTTGATTTTTTTTCCTTTGCCTTACTTTAAATGTATATGCATGTATAGACTACTTCCTTATTATGACTCCATTTATTTAATGAAAGTTTATGGGATGATCAATTGTTTTTAAGATTTGATAAGATTCTTAGTTTTATAGTAAAATACTATAAAATTTAACCACAAGCAAATTGATAACCTTACCTCTATATCTGGATGCTCAAAGCCCAAAGATCTTAGTTTTATTAAAATAAAGGATAAATCTGGACATTTGTGATAAGGAGCGTTTTTTTTAAAAAAAGATTAAAATGAAATTCTGCTGGGAAAAAAATAGATCCCTTTGGGTTCAGTTTTCAAATGTATTTCTTCAGATTTTTGCCAATGATTTCAGTGAAATGTCTCAAGTGTAAGTAGTTTGAGATTTGCAACCAGATTATCTAAGGAATAAGAACAGGTTGGAAGATAAATGAAAACATTTAGAAGTAAATTCATGATTTTAGAAAACAAATAAAAAGTAGAAATATTTGTATGCTTGTGTAATTTCGTATTCTGTAAATAAAAAGACAGCATGAAATATTTAAAAGAAAACGGTATTATCAATACAAAATTAGGTATCTTAGAACCAAAATGCAGTATAAAAATTGTCTCTCTTTTAGATTGGTTTGTTGAGAAGAATTAAGAATAGAATAATAGAATAATAATTTTATTGTCACTTTGAATGCACACTAATCAGCATACATTAAAATGAAATTTTGTTGCATACAGCTCTCAAAGGGTTCCCACCTCCAATATATACTACATAAATATGACATAAATAAATAAATAAAGAATTATGCATATATCCACATATATTATATGACACAGAAACAACAGTCTAGTTCTGGTGATATATACATGTGCATGGCAAGAAAAACGAATCTTGTAAGTTTATTGGATGGCATAGGGAACAAAGCTATTACAGAATCGGGTAGTTCTACTAGAAATACTTTGAAACCTCCTCCCAGACAGGAACAACAAATACAGACCATAAAGTGGGTATGTAGGGTCTCTAATAATGCTGTGAGCTCTAAGAACATAGCACTTATAAGCAGCATCCTGAATACCAGGAGCTTCCTATGATCTTCTCGGCTGTCCTTACCATTCTCTGTATGGACTTTCTATCTGAGGCACTGCTGCCACCAAACCAGACAGTGATGCAGTTTGTTAAAATGCTTTCAATCATGCCTCTGTAAGGACAGAAGGAGAAAGATGTCACCTCATCTGACGCAGGAAATGCAGACGCTGGTTTGCACACTTCACTAAGGTTGATGTGTGGAGAGACCAATTCAGATTGTTAGTTATCTGCACCCCCAGATACTTAATACTATTGACCACCTCTATAGCTGCATCCTTGATACCGAGTGGAGTATGACTATGCCGTCTCTTTCTAAAATCTACAATGATCTCCTTTGTTTTATCAATATTTAGAATCAATATTTATTATCAATTTTATTGCACCAGTCCACCAGATCCTTCACCTCTTCCCTATAAGCATCTTCCTTGTCATCCCGGATAAACCCACCACTGCTGTGTCGTCTGTATACTTCACAATATGATTCATAGCAGATTTGGCACAGCAGGCAGGCATGAGTCATCAGGGTGAAAGTAGCAGACTCAGGACATAGCCCTGTGGGGAAACTGTATTTAAAGAGATGGAATTGAAAACTTTCTTTCTAACTCGCATAACATGGGGCCTATCAATAAGGAAATCAAGTATCCAATTACATAAAGGAGTATTAAAATCTAATAGGACTAGTTTGTTCACCAGATGCTAAGGGATGCTTGTGTTGAATATTCAACTAAATCCACAAACAGCATTGGCACATGAGTATTCTTCCCCTCCAGATGTGCCAAGCTAAGATGGAGCACACAGGAAAGTATATCTTCTAAAGAGCGGTTCTTCTGATAGGTAAACTGTAATGAGTCAAATGTAGGGGGAAGGCATGAAACCATATAGTCCTTTATCAACCTCTCAAAACACTTCATCATAATTGAAGTGAATGAAGTAAATGAAGCCCATTAAGCGTATTTGCCATTTTTATAGACAAAGTCTCACAGTAATGTTAAGCTTTAAGCTTATCTTGCAAAATCATAATCTGTAGGCTAAACCACAATTGACTAATCTTACAATTCTCCAACCTATAGCTGGACTCATGAAAGCAAAAATAAAGAAAATAAATTATTATTTAGGGGCATTGTGACATCAATGTATGAAAGAGATATTTGTTATCATATTTCTAGATACTATGTTGACTTGACAAAGTTTTTCCTTTTCTACCACCGAATTGTTTTAGATTATGACAAAATAGAAGTAATATTTGAAACTGCATATGGTGAAGTTTTTTCAGTTTCATTTTTAAAAAGTAAATCTGAAGTCATGTTTTTTGTTTCCATTAAAATAAATTAAACGGTTCAAGATGGATATGGAAAAGCTGATGTGAATCCAAATCATGCTAGTGATGAATTTTCTAGTGTCTTCTCTGTATCCTTTGCATCATATCTACTATCTTTAGTTGTTAATACAGGTGGTCCTTAGTTAACAACCATTCAATCAGCAATCATTCAAATGCATGATGGAGTTGAATGACCAGTACTTACAACAAGTCCTCAAAGTTCTGACTGCTGCAGAACTCCTGCAATCACATGGTCACATTTGTGATCTACCCTGCTGGCTTCCCAAAGCAAAGTTAAGAGGTATGCCAGCAAGAAGTTGTAGTTATGTAACTTAGAACTGTTCGAAGTGCTGTCGTTGAATGGCACAATCACATGATATTGTGCTTTATGACCACATCAGCAATGGAAATTCCAGTTCCAATTATTGTAATATGAATGAGTAAGAATATTTCTGTATGTTTAATAATATTCAGTCATGAGTATTGTGTTACTGTAGTATAGTATTTCACTAGTCACTTCCTAATAAAGTTATTAATTTCTCTTTCAGTGGATTAAAAGATGTTCCTCATTTATCACGGTTCCGGAAATTGAAAAATTTGTGGCTAAACCATAATAAGGTATTAAATACAGGAATTTTCATAACTGCAATTATTTCTTATCTCTGATTATCTCTGATTATTCTTTCAAGGGGAGCATATTGGCTGTATTTACAAATAAGCCAAAATTTCAGAATTATAATGAAAATTATAAAAGCTACAGTGGCCTCCCTGAAACATAACTATATGAATAGTGGACTATTAAATGATCATACTAAGCTAAATAAATACGCATGTTTAAGAGTCTTCATAAAACTACAATATTCCATAGAATCTAACTGAATATAAATTGAATGGGATATTGTCTGGGATATCACAGCAATTTTCTGGCATATCACAAAATGCTTCCAGGTTTGCAGATTACCTTTTGGAAAATATCCAGACTCTGCAAGAATAGCAAGAGAAAGGACAAATTAAATCTTCTGGATTTCTCCAAAAGAGTCAATTCCAGAAATATAATTGTGTACATCTCTAATCTCTTTTAATTCGGCAGACTCATTAGAATAAATTTCCCAAAATACCCTATATGTTATTAAGGAATTTAAAAAAAAATCAACAAAGCCATTGTAAAAGTGACAACTGCTATACCAATAAAATAATAATGCTATTCTAATTTTTTTTTGTTAGATTCAGTATATAACATTCGTGAAAAATAACTGTTGCTTGACAGAATTATATCTTCATAATAATGATATCAGGAATATAACAGGTACTGCTTAAACATTTCATTTTATTTGATTTTTCTGAGTAAGAAATAAGTTTAATATATGAACAGTAAAAATGTTCTCTTAAAATATGTAATGGCCATTCTTGCACTAGATAAGGACTTTTGCTCTTCTATTTATTTTCTTTTGAATATATATATATATATATATATATATATATGTGTGTGTGTGTGTGTGTGTGTGTGTGTGTGTGTGTGTGTGTGTGTATGTATGTCTGTCTTTGGTTGTTCGGGTTTCCTCCCGCCTAAAATTGGAAGTGTCTTGGCGACGTTTCGACGAAGTCCCATTCGTCATCTTCAGGCTGGTGCTTTCAGCTTCGTGCTTCGAGGAGCAATGTGTGGTCTTAGCTGTTTCTTCCTTTTAACTGCCTGTGGGGGTATGAACTGATTGGGTGGGAGCTTGGCTGTGTTCTGATTGGGTGGAGGTGTGTTCTGATTAGTTAGGGGTGTGTCTGTGCTCTGATTGGCTGGGGGGTTGGCTGTGCTCTGATTTGCTGGGGGAGTGTTCTGTTTGGTTGTGCTCAGGTTAGTCTGAGTTGCAGGGGGGTTTAAGATTTTGGGCTACCTTGCTATTTTTTGGCTTCGCGTTCGTGGTCGTGCCTCATCTTCATGGAGGGTGTCAGTTTGCTTCATATATGGATTGGAGGGGTTTAAAGTCGCTAATGATGTAGCTGTGGTCTGGCTTCTGGTTTGTGGTCGTGCCTCATCATCGGTGTGGCTTTGGGTTTGCTTTTTGCGTGGATGTGTGGTGGTGACATCCTGTGTGGTTTTTGTGAATGTGGGTCTGGTATCATTTTTTGTGTTAGGGAGTCGTTTGTCGATAAGGGCGGGTTTCCAAATGGCTGGTAGGTGGGAGGTATCATCTCGCTTGTTCATGCTGTGTGGGCGTTTTTCTATCTCGATGGCTTCTCTGATTATTCTGTTATTAAAATGTTCACTTTTGGGAATGGTTCCGGTATTTTTAAAATCAATTTCATGTCCTGTGGCTTTAAGGTGTTGGACCAGGTAAAATGTTGGTTCCTCTTTTTTGACTGAGTTCTTATGTTCTTCAATGCGTGCACTTATTCTTCTGTTGGTTTGTCCGATGTATGTGTTGGGACAAGCAGTGCATGGGATTTCATATACTCCTTGATTTTCTAATTCAATTTTATCTTTGGGGTTTCTAAGGATGGTGGATATTTTTCTGTTTGTGCAGAATGCTGTTTTGATGTTGTGTTTATGGAGGATCTTACTGATTCTGTCTGTGGTGCCTTTTATGTATGGGAGGAGGGCTTTGCCGTTTTCTTGTTCTTTGTCTTGGATTTTAGTGGGGGTTTCTTTTTGGATTAGGTTTGTAATCTTATTTCTATGGAATCCATTGGATGTTAGTACATTGGTGAGAGTGTGTAGTTCGGGTTTTAGGTGTTGTTCGTCAGCTAAGCGTTTTGTTCTGGAGATGAGTGTCTTGGCTACGGAGTTGATCTGTGCTGGGTGGTGGTGTGAGAGAGCGTGCAGATAGCGGTTTGTGTGTGTTTTCTTCTGGTGGATGGTGTGTCCTAGGGAGCCATTGGATTTCTTGTAGACTAAGACATCCAGGAAGGGAAGTTGGTTGTTAGCTTCTGTTTCCATGGTGAACTGTATTTTGGGGTGTAGGCTGTTGAGGTGTGTGAGGAAGTTGTCCAGTTTTTCTTTCCCATGTGGCCAGATTATGAAGGTGTCGTCTACGTATCTGAGCCAGAGTTTGGGTTTGTGATCCGATTTTTCTAGAGCTTGGGTTTCAAAGTGTTCCATGTAGAGGTTTGCAATGACAGGTGAGAGGGGTGATCCCATGGGTGCTCCTTCTGTTTGTTTGTATTTTTGTCCATTATAGATGAAGTATGTGTTGGATAGGCAGTGGTTGGTCAGATCTAAGATGTGTTTGGGGGGGTTATATTTGTTTTGGATAGCTGTCAAGGTTTCTTTGATAGGCACTTGGGTGAAGAGGGATATGACATTGAAGCTCACAAGTAGGTCGCTGGGCTGTAAGTTTTGTTTCTTTATGATCTCTATAAACTGGAATGAGTTTTTTACGTGTGAGGTGATGGATTCTGCATAGGGCTGTAGTTGTTTAGTGAGAAATTTGGCTAGGTTTTGTAGAGGTGAGCCTATGGAGCTGACTATAGGTCTGAGTGGGGTTCCTTCTTTGTGTATCTTGGGGAGACCATAGAGTTTGGGGCATCTGGATGATTTCTCTCTGGGAATGATTCTTTGCTGGATCTCTTCGCTAATGGGGGAGGCTTTTATTTTGGATCTGGTGGTTTTTTCCAGGTAGGTGGTGGGATCTGTATTTAGGGGTTTGTATGTGGAGTCTTGGAATAGGTTGGTTAATTTGGTTTCGTAGTCAGATGTGTTCATAACCACTGTGGCGTTGCCCTTGTCTGCTGGTAGGATTATTATGCTGGTGTCTTCTTTCAGGTTATATATATATATGTAGGGTTTTCTCCTGCGTCAAATTGGAAGTGTCTTGGCGACGTTTCGATGAAGTCCCATTAGTCATCTTCAGGCTGGTGTTTTCAGCTTCTTGCTTCTAAGAGCAATGTCTGATCGTAGCTGTTTCTTCCTTTTAACTGCTAGTGGGGGTATGAACTGATTGGATGGGAGCTTGGCTGTGTTCTGATTGGGTGGAGGTGAGTTCTGATTGGTTAGGGGCTTGGCTTTGCTCTGATTGGATGGGGGGTTGGCTGTGCTCTAATTGGATGGGGGAGTGTTCTGTTTGGGTGGGGGCTTTTGCCAAAACTGAATACTTTAATAACAGAATAATCAGAGAAACCATCGAGATAGAAAAACGCCCACACAGCATGAATAAACGAGATGATACCTCCCACCTACCAGCCATTTGGAAACCCGCCCTTATTGACAAACGAGTCCCTAACACAAAGAATGACACCAGACCCACACTCACGAAAACCACACAGGATGTCACCACCACACATCCACGCAAAAAGTAAACCCAAACCCACATCGATGATGAGGCACGACCACAAACCAGAAGCCAGACCACAGCTGTATCATTAGCCACTTTAAACCCCTCCAATCCATATATGAAGCAAGCTGACACCCACCATGAAGATGAGGCACGACCACGAATGCGAAGCCAAACAATAGTAATGCAGCTCAATATCTCAAATACCCCTGCAACTCAGACTAACCCGAGCACAACAAAGCCCCCACCCAAACAGAACACTCCCCCATCCAATCAGAGCACAGCCAACCTCCCATCCAATCAGAGCAAAGCCAAGCCCCTAACCAATCAGAACACACCTCCACCCAATCAGAACACAGCCAAGCTCCCATCCAATCAGTTCATACCCCCACTAGCAGTTAAAAGGAAGAAACAGCTACGATCACACATTGCTCCTTGAAGCAAAAAGCCGAAAGCACCAGCCTGAAGATGACGAATGGGACTTCATCGAAACATCGCCAAGACACTTCCAATTTGACGCAGGAGAAAACCCGAATAACTAAAGACCTACATACAAACACCCGCGAAAACCTCAGAAAACACACACACACACACACACACACACACACACACACACACACACATATATATATATATATATATATATGTTGATTTTTATGAAGTGTGTGTGTGTGTGTATATATATATATATTGTGTTGATTTTTATATGGCAATGGTCCTTTTGATCTAATTTTTCTTACCTGTAATTTGAAATGCCACAAAAACAATTGTTTTTACTTTAAATGTATTAATTGTAATTTTAAAGTATTATAATTCCAAAGTTTCTTTTAGAGTAGAATATATATATATATTTAAAACAAAGAAAATATTTTCATAGTATGTCTCAGTAAGCTCCCTGGAGATAGATGAAATATTAGTTTAACTCAACAATAAATCTTAAATTCCAATTGTTACTTTTATATGACTAATTTATTCATATTTTTAGTTGAATTCTTATATTGACTTGGTTATATGATACCGGTATTTGTATTGCCTGAGTTTAAGTAATGTTCTAATCCAGTGAAATCTCTTTACGTGGATGTTAATAAAAGAAGTTTTACATACAATATAGACTATATTTCAACAGTGATTTGTATCACTTCTGTGATGATGAAATTGCATCAGCTATGTCACTTGCATAATGGCATAATCATAAATGTTGTAAATGAACACAAACACATAGGTCAAATTTAACTGACAGGTGCTAATAACAGGCATGTTGGTCTACTGTAATTTTATTATGATTTCTGTTAAATAGCAATAACACTAGAACTATACGTATAACTGCCTCATAGTGCTTTACAGCCCTCTCTAAGCGGTTTACAGAGTCAGCATATTGCCCCCAACAATCTTGGTCCTCATTTTACAGACCTCTGAAGGATGGAAGGCTTAGTCAGCCTTGAGCCAGTCAGAATCAAAATCCTGGCAGTGGGTAGAGTTAGCCTGCGATATTGTGTTCTAAGCATTGTGCCACCATAGCTCTCAAAATAACTATTTGCAATAATAGTAGGCCAGCTAGAATAATATCTAGCAGCAAGCAGCAAGATATTAGCAGCATGAATAATATCTAGAATATGATGATCAGTCCCAGATGATGACTACTATTTTCACGTTTGGAGATGGATGAGCAATCTGAAACTTCATGAAAAAGGTGATGAATTGAAGAGTTTGCACATTCCTTATCTTGATTATGGGTCCATCAAGCTTTTACCATCCAACTAAATGATTTCAAGAATCTTATAAAGAAAGCATGAATGTTTTAATTGTTTTATTGCCTTTCTTGCAATAGGAATTAAAGTACAAGTTGTTCCTATAGTGCCTTATTTTTTTATTATCATTTTTAGGTGCTCTGAAAAATTTACACTCACTGCAGATCTTGCTGCTTCACAACAATCAGCTAAAAAATTTGGATATGACTATAAAAGAACTACAAGGATTGCGAACTTTACATACCTTAAGTAATAATGTGTGTGTGTTTGTGTGTGTGTGTGTGTGTGTGTGTGTGTGTGTGTGTGTATTTCTCACATAGAATAACAGTACCAACATAAATACATTTGTTTCATAGAAGCAGCTTTGGAGAAGGGAATGGAATACTATATTTCAATTTTTTAAAATAGGTTTTGCTAAGAAACATTTTTTTTGTAATTCAGCATACCTGTATACTTTTTAATTAATGTATGTGTGTGTGTGTTTTCCTTTACTATATTGGGCAGAGCAAGGGACAGATGAAAATGCCTTAGTCTGAAACTTCGTATTAAGATAACAAGACAGTACTGGCGCCACTAAATTCTGCTGTATGACATTGCCTGCAGGGAAGTAGGATTATAAACTGTTAACCTTAAAGTGAGTGTGTAGGCAATCTTTCTCCTCCCCCCCCCCAAGAAATGCACTCATGCTAGGCTTTCAGAATTCTAAGAAGTAAGAACTTATTCCTTGGTAAAATAAGTATTAACATCCAAATCATTACTAGCATACTGAACATTTCACAGAAACAAATCTGAATCACTCTAAAATTAAAAAGATGATTAATGATTGTCAGATTATCCCAGCTACTATGGAAGATATAGCCACCACATTTTGAAAATACCAGCTATTGAAAGGGGAGAAAGTTTATGATGGGTATGGACATTTCCAAAATAACTGTGTTGAGATTGGCTTAGAAGAACAAACACTTTTCTTAGATAAGAATATTTATTTAAGATAATTTAACTAGATCAGTTAGAACCAGTTCATTATAGTGGTAAAAGGCACCAGGCTAGAAACCAGGGAACTGAAGAGTTCTACTGCTGCAGGACACTATTGGGTGACTTTGGGCCAGTTGCTCTCCTAGCCTAAGAAAGTAGCAATGGCAACCTGCTTCTGAAAATCATGTCAAGAAAGGTGTATAAATTCAGGCAATTGCCAGGAGTCAAGACTGACTTGAAGAACAATATATAAAAGGTCATTATGCCATCTATTTTAAAAACAAACAAACCCACCATACTACACAATATTAAAAACATTATTTATAGTCTTTCAAACTGACAGTCCTGTAACCAATGTAATTTATCCAGTGATTATAGACAAGGAACTATTTTTATTTTGCAAAAGTATTAATTATAATGTTCAGCAAAACTACTCATTTATTACATTAAATCTTGATATATTTGTGTAATTTATTAAATTACACAAAAGATTATGCAAAATAGCATACTCTACAAATAATTGAAATGAAAATCCATACTATAATAGGAAAATATTCTGGTTAATATTGACATAATTCCTAAGAAAGGTTCAAAAATAGTGTAAATATGTGTTCTTTCCACTGCTGCCATCTAGTGGTTTTTTAAGTGCAATTAATTAGATTTCCTTTTTATGAAAAATTATTTCTAAAACAGACTTTTTAGAATTCCTTGGAAAAAAAACACCTTATTATCCGTTATATAGACATTCATATTATTCAGATGTACTAAACCAATATGCTTTTCCAAAGTAATGTATCTTCAAATCCTAAAATTTTAATGTAACTTGTGGCTTATTGTAGAGAGTTAGGAGATGGAAATAGGCAAAAAACTGTTGTATAAGCAAAGAGATCTAAGACTTAACTTAATTCTTGGGAAACAAGATTGTATTTAGAAGACACAAATGTAGCTACTACCCAATACACTACAATATAAAAGGACGGGTGGTAATACACAATCAGGATATTAAGATTCTATTATTATAGCCTATTTCAATGTGTAGTACATAGATTTCTTGAGCTTGTCTACTTCATCAACCTTGTAAACCTGGATGTAATATCAAATACATGCTATTTTACTGAAATCTGATGATGATCTTAATAAGTCACTTAGGAAAGAGGCAGGTCTATTGCAGTTGTAGTTTGTCTCTGCTTGAAGTTCATTAGTAAGTCTATTTGCGAGGGGCAGGGAAAAAAAAGAATAACGCATTATGTGGAACCTGTAGATTTTTGCTTAAAGTAGTAACTTTTCCTAGTTAATCATAAGGTACATAAGCATTTAAAAGATAATGACACAAAAGATGCCAAAAAGCAAGGGTGGTCATATTTTCACAATGCATTTCACAATGGGTCAGAAGGTTCAGGAAAAATATACTTTCTGAATTCAAAATGGCATATTATGTTTGCAAAGTGGAAATTAGCATGAATATTGTCAAGTTTTTGCTCAATAATTTTCTTCTGTGTTTCAACTTCTGCAGACCTGTTTAACAATCCTCTGTCACAAGAATGCAGATATCGCCTATATGTAATATATCACATTCCCTCAGTAATTTTGCTCGACAGAAAAGGTAGAATTCTCTTGTTTCAAGAGAAGTGTTTTGCAAAGAATAAAAATATTATTCTTGTGGTTAAAATAATTATATAAGGTTTAATGTGCATGGATCTTATTGTTGTATATTTTGTTGATGGAGCTAGCATTGGATGGTTGATGGATAAATATGAGTTTTATTGAGGCCTCAACATTGTTCATTAGTTTTAATAATCTTTATATATTGTTTTTTATTTTTTGCTTCCCAACCCTAATAGAGGGTTGTTTATATAGATTTGATAAATAAATAAGAATATAATCAGTATCCGGTTACATTGATCTTTTGGGTTGTCTAGTTTAGCAGTTTTTTCTCACAGTGCCCAGCCAACTGCAGCAGCAAGCCCATTAGTCTCCCAGCAGAGTACATGTAGTCCTTGACTTACAGTAGAAATTGGGATCAGAATTTTCATTGCTAAGTGATGCAATTGTAACAAACTACTATATTGCTTAGCAATAGCAATCCCAGTAGTCCTAGTTGCTGTTGTTAACCGATCCCATGGTTACTTGGTGAAGTGTGTTCCTGCCAGGTTTCCAGAACAAAATCACAAACTATCAGGCAGGTAAGTGGCTGCTGCTGGATGGAGAAAGTAGCAAGGGGTACATGGGAAGGAATGGAAAGGGTGAGGCAGGATGTGTAACAGTATGAGGGCTGGGCTAGAGGCACACTGCAGGTCAAGGAGTGGGGCTGAGGAGATGCATGAGAGGTGCAAGTCTGAGTAGGTGCAAAGGAGTGCATGAGGTGTGACATGCAAGAGCAGTGTGCAAGGTGGTGTGGAAGAGGGATGTGAGGGTGTATGAGGATGCGGATTAGGGATTGGGGATGCTATGCAAATGAGGAAGGTATATGCAAGTGCATGTGAGAGGTCCATCAAGGATTGAGGAAGGAGTGCAAGGAGTGTGCAAGGGGTGCAGTTCACGGAAAGTACTATGTTGAAGGTGCATGAGAATTATAGCAAAGGGGCTCAAGAGACATGGGTCATGGAGGTTGTACGATAGTTCAAGGATCACATGAGTGTTAGGGAGGGTGCACTAGGGCAACTAGTGACCTTCTCTGATGGCTTTCCCTTTTAATTTCTGAAGAAGTCAGTAGAGAAGATAGCAAATGGCAATCACATTATTGCAAAATGCTGCAACTAGTCGTAACTGAAAACCAATCACCAAGCACCCAGATTGCAAACAAATGACCATAAGGGTGCTATAATGACTGGCATTTCAAGGATTGGTCCTAACCACCTTAATGTTCAGGATTTTTGTAACCTAACAGTCACTGAACAAATGATTGTAGGTTGCAAACTACATGTAGTCACTATTCATACCCATGATTCCTATGAATTAATCTAACCCTTTTTTGCAGCCAGTCAAGCTGACAGCCATCAACACAGCACATTGTAGCAAATTCTGAAGTTTAATTGTGTGTTATGAAAAATGATTTTTTTAGTCCTGATTTTTCCAATTTCTTTATTCAGTTTCATTGATTGACATCTGGCTATAATATTTTGAAAGGGAAAAAGCTCTTACTCCTTATCCACTTTATTCACACATAAATCTCAAAAATTCTCAATTTTATGGATCAACCACCAATAATACCTTATGGAAGCAAGGTTTCAAAATGCTTCTAAAAGGGCAATTGGTACTGAAATTTTCAGTGAATATTCTAAAGAAAGAATAGAAAGACACAAAGGAATCTCTGGAATATTTTGTGGAATGTGATAAGTCTCTTAAAAAATAAATAAAAGCCAAAAAGACTTGAGCATGTAATGAAAGGTATTTAAATAGTTTAATGATCTGACAAAACCTTATTTTCCCTAGAAATAACTAGAAAAGAAAGAGAATCAGCTCTGCACATCTACAATCATGAGAAGACTCTTGTCCTTCAGTCCATAGGATTTGGAAAGAGAGTAGATATACCTTTGTTGCCAAAGGCAGCATTCGGGCTGGCACCCACAAAAGTGTTGCGCTTGCCTTCAGGTATTTCAACAATAATTTACTAAAATAGAATAGATTTTGCACTCTTGTTGGAGGTACCAAGGTGATTCCAGCTTGAAAAGATTAGCTAGTGACATCACTGTTGCCTGGTGTACACCCAGTTGGGGGCTTCTTTAATATCTCCAGGAGGAGCTGGAGCAAATAATGGGAGCTTACCCAGCCCCATGGCAGCACTTATGCCTCGAACATGAGTTTGCTGCTTGTCAAGCCAGTGTTCTAATCACACGAACCACCAGGCTTCTTAATAACATAGATTACCAATCAACATTCTTTTCCTAAAATGTTTAACAATTTTCAACATTATCTAAACTTTTATAATAATCATTATTTTACCTCTTCACCTCAAAAGATCTTTATTTGTAATTATATTGTACATATCAATAAAAATTATTCATAAAACATAGTTGTATTGAATCATTTGATCTATTTTTAGCTTTTCTGGTTCAAAAATTAAACTATTGGAGATTTTGAACTTTGTTAAATTAAAAAAATAATGTTTATTATATGCATATATTGCATGATAATGAAGCACCTATTAAAATTAATTGTTTTGCTTCTAGAAGTTAAAGGAAATGATTGTTGAGCAGAATAATGATTAAGTGACAAAGGCTTTGGACAATATAAATAGTTCTCCGAATTATATAAAAATAATGAGATATAGAAATTAATCTGAAGAGAAAAAAGCAATATTTCTTATGCCAGATTTACAAATTGTAAATTTGTAAAGATTTACAAATTATAAGGACTTATCCTTAACCATTTGAAATTAAAATTCAATACATTTTACTGAATAAATATTTTAGATTGATAAGTTTATGTATTTATTTTTTAAAATAAATGGAATTTAAATTGATTAGTTGTTTAGTAGTATATGTCAATTGACAAAAGATATATACCACATTCAATATTTTTAATAATTATTTTAGGTTGCGAGTTTGGAAATCACTTAGTTAAGTAAGTAGTTGAAACAATTTCTCCATATTTTAAGATTATATTGTAAATAAAAAAGTTCTATATAAGTAAAAGGACAAGTCAAGCCATAGCTGCTTAAATTGAACAGATAATTATGTTGTATAAACATTAATACTCATTTTATAAACTTCATGAAGAGTTATGTTGCATTAGAAGTTTAAACATCTCACTAGCTTTACCCATCTTGAATTTTAAATGATTTGCAAAAGAACATTTCAATGGAAGATATAATTGGTATGAATATATTGACTATGCTATTTGACTTTTATATCATCTATATTTTCCTATTTAATTTGTATACCATTTGCATAATTACAGGGTGCAAAATATACTGAGAACCAGTTTGATCTAGTGGTTAGAGTAGTAACTAGAAGTGGGGAAACTTGAGTTCTCACTCTTCCTAGATCAAGGACAAAAGCAATGGAAAACCACTTCTAAAAATGTTGCCAGGCAGTCAACAGGAGTCAGGGTTAGCTTAAAGACAAAAACAAACAAAATACATTGATGGAAAAAAATAATTTTGGACAGAACAGAGTTCAATTTTGGGTTTGGAGCAGGTCTTGAGATTTGAGCAGAATTTGGTTGTGAGTTTGGAGCAATTTTTGAGATTACAGAGAAAAAACTTAAGAGGAGCCTAATTTTAGAAATGGTAGTCCATTTTGGTGATTATTTTAAGAATATGCTTAAATTCCAATGCAAGTGCCTATTTAACCATTGGTTGAATAAGAATATTGTCATTTACTAACTTTTTTGGGGTGGGGGTTACTCTTAAAGAATACCATTTGCAAATCCAGAAGATGCTGTTTTTGTGCGGGCAATGAAGCGTGGCATGATGGAATTTTCAACTGTCGATTGGGGGAAAATGCCCACCTGTGAAGAAAAACGCCTTGGCAGCAATCCAGAGAAAAGGCCAGAAAAACTGACCATTAGATTCAGATAAGAGCCTGTTTCCTACAGAAAACTATCTCTAAGAGCTTCTTTTGAATTATATTCCTATTAAATGTTCTAATTGTCAATTGAAGATATTTTAAGAGAGAAAATATTATTTATTGTTTTAATATTGAATGTGGAGCACTTTTTAAAATAAGTGTGATTCAAGAATTCAGTGGCCAGAGCAATAACATTACAATACTGAAATAGATCAGCCTTTGAGTTTCAAGGTATTTTTTGAAAAGAATTGGAATATTTTGAAATAATGGAGGTTTAAATACCAATTTTTGCCACCCAACTATAGCACATAAGGATTATATTACAATTATATTACTTGAAATATCTTCAAAGATATGCGATGACTATTAAAATGTCTCAGTCCTTATTGCCTTCTATGTTAAGAAATACTGTGAATGGGTAGGGGAAACAGTCTGTATGAGATTAGTTATTTCATCCCATAAGGCCTATCGTAGTAGTTAAATAAGTGTCAATATCTTTATTTATAGGACCATTGAAGTGAGTCTAACTATAGTAGTCAAATTTCATTTGCATCCACAAGTTGTAAATAATGCAATAAGCTAAAAAAATTATCTGGCATTAATTTTTAAAAAGTCTACATATATGGCTCTCTGAACATTACTGAACTCCAGGGCCAACTGTCTCAGCTAATATATCTACCAGTGAGACAACTTAGCAACTTCTGGATAGCCCTGAATATCTGCCATAAATTACTCACAGCCACCCAGCCTAACCAGTATCATATTGTTTTCTTTGTAACAAACCCTAAGTAAATTTTATTTTATAGATTAGTTAAAGGCTAAACTATGATTTTCTTTACAAATATTTTAGGTGCAGTCTTTACCATAGATGCATTTATTTTGCTAATTTAGAATGACATCTATTAGGCATTCCAATTGGGTAGCAAATAAACAGTCTATCAAATTAAAACAGACTGGTATGTCTTACATAAAATTTCTCCTATTATAATATTAACTTTTGGAAGCAAATATTCAATCTGACAATGTTTTGCGTGGATTTAAAAAATTATGGAAATTAGTTAGAATACTGAACTGTTTAAAGGACTGCCCTACTTATTCTGTAAAAATAGTGAGTCCAGAACAATTCGGTTTGTCTTGATATTGGATTGCTTATAAAATACTTTGTTTTGTGTATATTCCTAGTACAGTCTTCCCAAGTTCAGTATTTTGCATTTCATACAGAAATGAGAGAAAAAGTATTGTTTGTTAGTTTGGAAATTAGCTGCAAATTAATATAGAAAATAAAAGTAGATGCAACAATATTCTGAGCTCTCTAATTTTTTTCCCCGTAAGAAATCTTAAAAGTTATCTGTTATATCCTTAAAAATGTATAGGAGGTAGGGAGAAAGTATTGTTAATAAGATTTTCCTATGGTTTGTAGAGGTAGTTCCTCAAGATACAAAGGTCACTTAACAGCTGTTGGATATTACAACAGAACCCCCAAAACTTACATATGACCCTGTTTCAAAGTTACAGCTGCTGCAGTGCCTCCTCTCCTTTCCCCCACCTTTCATCTCACCATCCCCATACCACTTGGGCCTGCTCCTTACATTTCTGTCACACATTCCACATTTATCTTTTGAAGATTTCTGGACATCATATTACAGAAGGACACACCATGTGACCTTGGACCATGCAGCGGTGATCCATATGCAACCATTTTGTTCCACCCACTTGTGGCAGGGCAAAATGGCAGTCAAGGGACAAATCGGTTTTGTTGCCTTAAAACTGCACAGTGATGCAGAAACTTTCTGCAACGCTAGGCAGACCTCATTAGGTAGCAAAGCAGAATGCTTTGTCCTGTGGCTGCATGGTGCATTTCCGAAAGCGGTAGCTAATTCTGGCCCAGAGGTTTCTGAATGATGGTGCAAACTACATTGTCCCTCGCCCATATGGCACTATTCCAGAAGTGGCTGCCAAATACCCAGCGGTTGAACTGCATTCTGATAGCTATAAATATTTCTGCCACTTATAGAATTGTGCCACATGGCATGATGAAGAGATCTGTTCCATCACTCTAGGAGACCTTGAACTTTCAAACAGTAAGTGAAGAGAGTGTTTAGTTCAGTGGCATGGGAATCAGGCCTAAGGCCTAGGGCAGTGGTGGCGAACCTATGGCACAGGTGCCAGAGGCGACACTCGGAGCCCTCTCTGTGGGCACATGCACCGTTTCCCCATCCCTACCTCCTCCCACAGCCCCCTCTTCACTAGCAGCCCCCCTAGAGGAGAGTCACCCCTGGACACGGCCCATGCAAAGCAGCACAGCCAAGGACATGGTAGCCAGACAGCAGGGACAAGACTCTGCCCTTCTGCCCCGTTGCACGCTAATGATGCTGTGGGGCATGGGCAGAGGGCGTGGCTGCATGGTGCTGCTGGGCTGCCTGAGTGATCTGTGGCGGGCCGTGGAGGTGGTGGGTGGCCCAGTTGGCAGGGCGGAGCAGGGACGGGGGTGAGGAGTGGTTTTGGGGCACTCGGTCTCTAAAAGGTTTGCCATCACTGGCCTAGGGGGGTCACAATGGGAGTCAAGAGCAGGGACAGGAAGTATAGCATAGGATGTCTTGGAGAATGGAGAGGCCTTGGGATGGCCAGGGCAGGCAGACCAGGGCCTATTCTAGGCCACCAAGGGCCTTCCCCATCTGAGGCACTCCATCTCCCACCTAACAATCTGACTGTATTGGGGAGAGTAGGCATGGGATATTGTTATGTGAGATGCCATTGCAACATGCAACCATGATAGGCAGGCTCCATTACAATTGTATCTTGAGGACCATATGTATATGTTATCAATCAGTGGTATGGAGAGTGTATAACACTGCTAATTTGTTTAACTAAGATTTAAAGGAAATTAGCAGCATTATCTGCTCTGTATGACAGTGCCCAATATTTTGAAACCTGTTTCTGGTCCTTTGCAGTATTTTGGAGTGATATACAGAAATGGTAATTCAGTATTATTATTATTATTATTATTATTAATAATAATAATAATAATAATAATAATAACAACAACAACAATAGTAAAGTGGGAAGGGACTTTGGAGGTCATCTAGTCCAACCACTTGCTCAGGCAGGAAACCCTATACCATTTTGGACAAATGGCTGTCCAGTCTCTTCTTAAAAACTTCCAGTGTTTGAGCATTCACCGCTTCTGGAGGCAGGTTGTTCCATTGGTTAATTGTTCTGTCAGGAAGTTTCTCCTTAGTTCTAGGTTGCTTCTCTCCTTGCTTAGTTTCTACCCGTTGCTTCTTGTCCTGCCTTCAGGCGCCTTGGAAAATAGCTTGACTCCCTCTTCTTTGTGGCAGTCCTTGAGATATTGGAACACTGCTATCATGTCCCCCCTCATCCTTCTCTTCATTAAATTAGACATACCCAATTCCAGCAGCCGTTCCTTATATGCTTTAGCCTCCAGTCCCTAATCATCTTTGTTGCTCTTCTCTATACTCTTTTTAGAGTCTCAACATCTTTTTTACTTCGTGGTGACCAAAACTGGATGCAGTATTCCAACTGTGGCCTTACCAAGGTATTGTAAAGTGGTATTAATACTTCATTTGATCTTGATTCTATCCCTCTGTTAATGCAGCCTAGCACTGTGTTGGCCTTTTTGGCAGCTGCAGCACACTGCTGGCTCATATTTAGGTGATTGTCCACTAGGACTCTGAGGTCCCTCTCACAGTTACTACTATTGAGCAAGGTACCCCCTACTATACCTGTGCATTTGGTTTTTCTTACCTAAATGTAGAACCTTTCTTTTTTCACCACTGAATTTCATTTTGTTAGATAGCACATAGTGTTCAAGTCTGTCCAGATCCTTCTGTATCTTAAGCCTGTCTTCTGGAGTGTTGGCTATTCTTGCCAGCTTGGTGTCGTCTACAAATTTGATGGGTTCCCCATCTATCCCCTCATCCAAATCGTTGATGAAGATGTTGAAGAGCACTGGACCCAGAACAGAGCCCTGGGGCACCCCACTACACACTTCCCGCCATGTAGATGCGGTTCCATTGAGGACCACATGCGGAGTACGGCCGGTCAGCCAGTTACGGATCCATCTGGTGGTGATGCTGTCTAAGCCACATTTTTCTATCTTGTTAAGTAGTAGGTTGTATCTACTTTATCAAATGCCTACTGAAGTCCAAGTAAATTATGTCCACAGCATTCCTCTGATCCACTAATTTTGTCACTTGGTCGAAGAATGGAGTAAGATTTGTCTGGTATAATCTATTTTTGACAAACCCACGTTGGCTTTTAGTAATGACTTTGTTTGCCTCTAGGTGTTCATTGATTCGTTGCTTATGTTTTCCAGGATCTTCCCAGGTATTGAGGTCAGGCTGATAGGTTGTAATTTCCTGGATCCATTTTTTTTCCTTTTTTGAAGATGGGAACTACATCAGCTCTTTTCCAGTCCTCTGGTAGTTCCCGTGCTCCAGGATCATTGAAAAATATAATTCAGTAGTTCTGAGATCACATCTGCCAGTTCCTTGAGAACCTTGGGGTGTAATCCATCTGGTCCTGGCAATTTGAACTTGTCTAGACTGGACAGGTGCTCACTTACCATTTTCTTGCCTATCTTAACTTGTGTTTCTATTCTGTTTTTTTGTGGCACCTTTTTTATAGGTTGGTCTGTTTTTTCCCTTTGTGTAAAGACAGATGCAAAAAACGAGTTAAATAGTTCTGCTTTCTCCCTGTTGCTTGTCACCTGCTTGCCACTTTCACCCACTAATGGATCAATCATTTCCTTCACTTTTTTCAGGTCCAGATATTGATTTAAGAAAGAATCTAATACATCAGAAAGTATGTTTCATGTTTATGGAACCCTCAAATAATGTTTTTAAGAGACTAGGTATCAAATTATTTTCTGTGTGCATTGTCACTAGGAAAAATTTGAGAGTTGTTTAATTCATATGATTTGCTCATGTCCTGCTACAGGTCTCCTTTGATTTTGACTTACAATTTACATTAATAATTTTGGAAAGAAATATAACAGTTGAACGATGTGCATATAAATACTATATTCCTAATGTAAGAAACTTGTCATTTTATAAAAAGCTTTGGTTTTATTAAGGAATAAAATTACAGAAATATAAGTGGTGGATTGAAGATGATTGTTATTTAGAGATGTTTTAATATTTTAAATATTTAATATTCCAAAAATGAAAAGCTGGAACAATGTTTCTCTATGATTTCTCTAGATTTAGTGATAAGTTCAAAGATTGAGCCAATCCCACATTGGTATTAAAATACCATGTAAATTTTTTTTAAAATATTAGTGGTAATTTTTATAATTTATGTTGCTTTTTAAAAAAAGAATAGTGCAGTTCAGCATAAAGGCTGGTGCAAGCTTATTGGCCAAATTATTTAAGATATTTAAATAAAATAGTTTATCAAAGAAAAAAGATTCACAGTAGATTCTTCTTGCCAAGCATGCTAACATTTCGGTTATTTTTCAAACTAGTTTGTTCCAAGGGAGTGCAGCTATATTTCCTGTTTGTATATTGTTCAATCTGCAGATATGGATTTCAGTAACTGTGTGCAGGTAGTCCTTATTTAATTGCCTTAATTTGAAGCAGAATTTCTAATGCTAAGCAATGAGTCATTAGGTAAAATTTCATAGGATTGTACTGTTTATTAACAATACTTTCAGTAATCCCAGTGGTGGTTGATAGGCAGCTTCATGTTTCTCCTGCCCTGCCATGCTTGCCTCTTCTTCAACTCTCCACACCCATCTATGTCCTCCATTTTTGGCCTTTGGTTTTCCTGCATTTTGCTTTGATCCCCACCACCTTGCACTCCAATGCTCACTGCTGACAAGGTGTGCCTGGCATGGTCCTTCCTGAGGCTTTCTTCCTGAAACTGCAAGCAGCCTTTCTGGAGCCTCAAAAAGCCTTCCCAAGGCTTTGTAAATAAGGCTTCACTGACCTGCATACACCTTATGGAAGGTTGACATGCCTTCTCACCAGCACCAGGAGAAAGAAGACAGTAAAGGTCAGCTGGGGACAGCAGAACGCAGATGGCAGGGTCCCTGGGGGTGCAGGATGGCTAAGAGGGCAGAGATGGTGGGATATAGGCAGGTGGAAGCTGAAGTGGTCCTAAATGTGAACAGGCTGCTAATTGCCCAAATTTTGGTCATGTGTCTATGAGGGCACTGCAATGGCTGCAAATATCATTTGTTCAGCATCATTATAACTTTGAGCAGTCATTGAATGGTCGTTGAGTGAGAATTACCTATAATTTATTGCACAGGTAAAAAATCCCTATATATATCCTTATATATTAATTTATTAGAGTCACAGTTGTAATAAATAAGTAATTCTTCCTCCCACCATAAAGCCTGTATCTCTTTGAAAACATAAGCACTGCAGCTAACAGGTAAACTTAGACAGCTTGTACTATATTTAAATTTGGTCAATTCTAAATAAAAAGCTATCCTGTATAATTTGTACTTCCATTCCAATCACAAAGAGAGAAATTGACATTGCTATTTCTGAATATTTTAATACCAGTCTGTGCTTCTGTTTTTCCTAAAAGTATAATCTGAGTGTCTGGGATATAATGAAAGTCAGGTATAATTCAAGAAAATTTGTGGAATTCAGCTCTTTTAGCCTTATCTTCCCTCCTCCCCCAGTAAATCTGGCTTCAAGTTACAGGCCTCTCTACTCCAGATAATGATTAACATATTATTTAAAGATTAATTATTAAAGCATCCCTAATTCTTACCGTAAATGCTGGCGTATAAGACGACTTCCGCGAGCGCTGAAATCGGCGCCAAAGACGGGGGTCGTCTTATACGCTGAGTCGTCTTATACGCCGGAAATACTGGTAGTTTCCGGCATATAAGACAACGTTCTAGGAATGCGGCCCGGCTATAAAGACGGGGGTTGTCTTATACGCCGGGTCGCCTAATACGCCGGCATATACAGTATATATAGCCATGTTGTTATTTGTCAATTTTTCAGCAACATTATGCTTAATTTGGTTTGAAAAAAGTTCTATAACTGAAAATTTATAATTAAAGTCAATTAAACCAATATAGATTAGCAATATTGTTTAACAGAAACAGGCAAGAAGCATAGAAGATGAAAACTAGGAATTTTAATGTACAGGTAATCTTCGACTGATGACCATAATAGAAACTATCCATAATGGTCAGAGATCATTTTTGTATATATTTTATTTTGTTTAAGACAAAGTTAACCCCCCCCCCAAAATCCAAAATTCTTATAGGCCTTGGGCTTGTTTCTATTCCAACAGAACCTACACCCTCCTCATACCACTTCACTCATTGTGCATTTACTTTTCAAACTCTGGAAATAGGATTAGGGAACGACAGGTGTCCTCATTCCTGGGCTGTGCAATCCTGGAAATGGATGCCATTTCCTGAGTGGCCACAATTCAATAGTGGCCAGTAATGGGATTGCAGCCATAACTGACCATGAAGTCCAGGAACATAGTGATCTATCCTCCTTTCCTAACCAGAGATCTTTTAAAGGTGAGGAGGAGGTTGTAGAGCCCCGTGGGTTGGAAGCAGGTCCAAGGCATGTGGGAGATAGGCAGGGGTATTGCTGCAGTGAAGCTGCAGTTGGTCATAAGAACAAACGACCGTAGAAGTGCTGCAACAAGTATAACTTTGAAACAGATATTTAAGTAGTTTTGGGGGAGGGTCCACTATAACTTCAGTCGCTAAGCAACCAGTTGTAAGTCAAGGACTAGCTATGTTTATATTTCAGATATTATGGTACTAGCTTGATATTTGAATTAAATAGAAAGCTTTTTTTTGTACTAAACTGGTTTTAAACTGTTTTTTTAAAACATACCTAAGGTATATAGGAACAAAAAAGATAGGTTTATGTTATTCTGATTTCAACCATCTGTTTAAAACTCTTTATCACAATCTACAATTCTTTGAGTTATATTTGATATAAAAACTGATATAAGGTAAAACCCAGTATGTTATTGAGCACTTATCACGTTATGAAATCCAGTCTATAGACTGTAATCCAGATGACATTCTTTAAAAAGTACTGTTTATTCTTTAAATTCTTGAACTTTTTCACTAACAATGTTTTCTGAAGTAGTTTCCTCTTCAAGAGAGTTACAAACTGCTGGAGAAGACACAATCATTTTTATGTTGGGAATCATTTCACTTTGGTCTCCAGTACTTTTTATTTCCATGTCTTTATGAGTTTCAGGTTCAGAGTACTGTTCTTCGCTTGTTAAAATAGATTCTGAAGTTTGTGCTGCTTCTAGAGTGAAAACAAGCATGTGTCAAATGAAATATAGAACCATGTACATTTCAGCAAGTAATACAGAAAACTGACATCCTCCTGCCTGAATTCCAACTAATAAAGAAAGCTACTTATAATATTTCTGTCAATTTGAAAATAAATTAAAAGGAGAAATTTAATTAAAATATGATGCCATATGTGTTAATATTTTTAACAGTCGAAGTATCATGTCTGCACAAAAGAATATCTAGGTTGCACAAAAGAATATCTAGGTTGTTCAGTCTGAACAGGTTGGTTAGGGAAAAAACATGTATGTCCTCCAGGATGGTTTCATTTTTTACCTAATGTGAATAGGCTAACTAACTTGGTCAGACTGAAGAAGCTATTTGGATTAGCAACAAAGAAATTCTAACAAACAAAAAAGAAGTCCAGTTGCCATGACTCAACTTCCAGACATTTGGATAGAAGAGGATCCACAAGAGGAAAAAAAGGTCTTCCTGTTATAGGGGTGGGCATCACTAGTCCAATATGGGTGCTGGAAGGGAGAAGTGGTAAAGGACAGGATGTCAACAAGATTCCTCTTGCCTGCAGTGCTTGTGTGGAATGCTGAAGATGTTTATTTTACCACAGGTATGACTGGGTGTCTGCCATGGAAGGATCCGTGACATCTCTTGTATATCTACTCCCAACTGTCCTTCGATCTGAAGCAACTCAAAGGGGAGCCTTCTTGGCTCCATTTGACATTCTGAGTTGTGCATTGCTGGAGTCTCTACCCTGGAGTGCTTGCAAAGAAAAGGTGTCCATGGGCAGCTTGACTTGCTGGCTTAGATCACATCAACCTGGGACTCCAGCTGACTTTTTCTTTTTATTGGGGCAGGATCTATGGGGAAAAATTAACTGGCCTTGAGAAAAAGATGGTGCTTTGTAGTGGCAGCTGCTTCGTTGTGAAGAAAAGTTTGATCAAAAGAAGGGGACTGCGAAGAGGTCAGGATTTGGTGAGGAGCCATGGAGCTACCTCTCTGCCTGATTTGGCAGGGCGCGGGAGACACTGTTGGATGGCCATCAATCCCCCAAAGGGCACTGAGCTGCAAGGAAACCTGGCCGGCCGGCCCAGGAGATGGATCCCTGGCTGGAAGGCATTGCCTTACTTTTGTATCATCTCCCTAGAGAGTTTTCTGCTCTGCAAGAGGGAGAGAAAAGAAGAAAACAGATTTCTATTGGCAATGTCTCCTGTGCCTTATGTACCCCGCACTGCAAGAGAGGAGAGATTGGAGAGGACTTGACTAAAAGAGAGTAAAGAGGAACACAATGAAGAATACTCTGTCTGTTCGCCATGCACTCTTGCAATGCCAATGCCAGGGCATTACTTCAGATGTGTATTCCCACTGTGTGCTCGCTTACTCTCTTCTTGTAATCCCTTCAGCAAAAACATCATAAATCCCAGTCATATGACCATAGGATGCTAGAAATAGCCATAAATGCAGGTTGGTTGCCAAACACCCTAAATGTAATATGTGAACATGGAGAGGAGGGGTTGGAATTCAGAATCAGGTCATAAAAATATTTTGGTCTGCTGTAATTTTGAACCATCACAAGTCAAGGACTATTTATACTGACTGTAATGGTGATCATGTGACCAAGGAACCTGTGAAGGTCATAAATAATTGTATATTGTTTATAAGTTCATTTTTCCAGTGCTGTTGAAACCGTATAGCCACTAAACAAATTGGTGGTAACTTGTGGACTACTTGTACCAACTAATATTAATACTTGACAAAAATCAAATTTTCAGGTAAAAATTAACTGCCAAGAAAAAGATTTTGAGAATTATTAGCTCAAGATTGGAAAAAGGTTTATCTGAAAAAAAAATCATCAAAAAACTGCTATCGCATAATCACAGCATAAAATGCTGTCTCAAGATAATCTCTTTGAAGCTTATGACAGGGAAAGGGATGAATTCTGACAAAATAAAAATATAAAAGTAGTACACTACTGTAAAGATTGCCATAACCTGTTATTTTGGAATACAATCAGCATCTGTTTTAGTTATTGGTTTGTTTTGAAGATACTTCCCACCATAAAGGACATATTCCTAAATGCTCTTGAAATAATAAGGCATCTCAACCTTTATTTTTTTCTTTGGCTGCGTCTACCATCTGTTTCTCATAAATCTTCTTTAGCATGCTGCATGATTTCTTGTGCGTAAACCAGTGCATTTTCTGGCAAGTCTGATCACAGTAAATAACCTGAAAATCAACAAAAGTATATCACCATTTTGATTTTTAAAACAATTTGAATTACCTAAGGATCAGAGACATCCCTTTACAATTAAAAAAATACAACTGATATTTTTTAAATAAATGAACAACCAGTTGCTCCCACAGTTAGAATTACAATATTGAGAAGTTATTTTCTTGTTTTCATTTTAAAAGATAAAATTTGTTTTGAAGATTGAGATACATTCAATCTTGTCACTCAGTTGGAGGTAATTTTATTTGATAAATAATTACAAAGGATGGGAAAATGAAAAGTAAGAACATAAAAGTGATGGTAGAAAGATAATGTATAAAAAACCTTAGCTGAAAGAAGCAAAAATAATTGTTTGTGAGAATGGGCTTCTGGCCATTAATACATGGAAGTAGAAATTGGGTATGCCAAGAAAAATGAAAATTGAAAGCAATGTGGAAGATTATACAGTGTGTGTGATAAGTGAAGGAAGGCAAGAATGACTTGATGAGTGACCAGTATGAAGTGTGTTAAGACTGCAGACAGATTGAATGACGACTAAATTATAAAACATATGTGAAGGAAAGTGAACGGCTCACGAGAAAGACTAAGTAATACTAAGTGAAAATCTTGAAGAGAAAAAAGAGTAAGGAAAAGGCAATATGAATTAGTGTATGGATATGGCAGAAACATGAATTGTTTATAAGGATCACAAAGTATGGAGCAGTGATCTCTTTTTCACATGTGATGCATGCTGTGCATTTGTGATTTGCATTATGCTTAACCTGAGGGGGAATGGAGTGTTAGTTATATATAATATGTGATGAGGATAATCTGTTTATTACTTTATCTGCATACTCTTACCATTTTGCATGTGGAACATCTTTTGTCCGCTCCTTTTTCCCCACATGTTGTACAAAATTCAGCATCTATAAAGCCTATATGACCAGTAATAGCTTGTGTAAGTACAGAAAATGCTGTAGGGTCAGAACCCTGGAGAGGCAAAGGGAGATGAAATAGCAGTTTTTCTTAACAAGAATTCTAAATCCAAGCCCAAAGGAAAAAACAAATCTTCTATGCTCTGGCTGTTTATTTTTATTTTTTTAAAAAAGCACCTGACATGCATCTACCTTAATACCAGGCATCCTGAAAAGAATGAAATGATTTAGGGCAAAATTTCTAAATACTGTTCTCACTGAAAGGATTAACAGAGTTTCCATTTAAGGAATTACACAATCTAACTAGATTGACTAATTTTACTCATGAGAAAATATTTAAAAAGAGAATGGAGAAGAATCTACATGTCCCTATAGATTTCCAAATACTATTTAAATGGATATATGTCACTTAATGGTACACATTGATTCTCAGGCCTTTAAACTAACTTGCCAAAACAAAAGGCAGGAAAATGAAGAACTTGCCTGACAAATTTTGATTCTTGTTGGCACATCAAGCCAAAACCCCTTTCAAGCACTGTTATAAATCTATTAATGGAAGTGTTCTAAGAAAGGTTTGTTCAAGAAAGTAGACCCACTGATGAATAACTTGTATTCTACTGTTAGAGTAGGTTTGGCTGAAATTGTATAACTTGTCCCTAAATCAACACTATTTCTTCTGCATTATTTCCTCTGCAATTCCACACTGCTTAATCTAGATGAATTGGAAACCAAGAGCAATCAGGTATCACCAGAATAACTATGACCTCTGCTTGTGAGGCCTTCTATGTTATTTGGAAATTATCTTAAGGAAAAGGTATAAAGAAGACCCATCAGCCAGTCAGTCCCGAAAGCATCCAGTTTCACGTTTCTGGCAATGAATATCGACATTATGTGTTATCCTAAAGATGTCTAGATGTCTAAATCAGGAAACATTCTATTGGAAGGACTGAAGGTTTGGTACCCATGCTAATTCCTGGATTATGTCACTGCTGAATGCCTTCTATCAGACCTTTAAGGATTCGTAAAACATGATTCCATATTTCTTCCCTGTACTAGTTGGAAAAGGAAGACAAGGACAAAGCAGCATAAGCTTGGAAGCTTATGTATCCTTGTTCCCTGATTGTGTTCAGGTCAGTTATCTAGCTGGATTACATAACTTTTAACAGATGCGCTGAAGGATCTGCTTAGATTGCTTTTTTCCCCCTGCAGCCAGTGCCAGATTGATTCGTATTTGTGCTAAGTGTTAATTGTTTTGCCTCCAAATATTTAGTAAGATGACACTAAAAGAATCCATAATACCTGGTACCTTAGGTTTTCATGACTGCTATGCAAGTCTTAGAAACTCAAAAGGTTAGCAAGAGCTGAGCTAAGGCAAAAGACAATTTTGGAAAAAAAAACACGAAGTAGGTAGAGAACGCTTTGAGATAATCATCCAAAGAACCAAATTTTGCAGAAATTTGTTCCTCCTTCCCTTTCCTTGCATTAATTAGAATTTGGTTACAGTGAACATGTGTAAATAATGCACACTAAAAATTATCTTGTAGATTCTAAATGTTCAATCGGTACAGAATAATAGACATACTGTTCGTCAGGATACACTTACAATTTCAACAGGAGCAATGTTTCTCACAAGTTGCTGAAGCAAGGTAGTTTCACAATAAGGAAATTTCCGAATAGATTCCCTGATGATCTTCTCTTGATAAACTGGAAATCCATCTCTCTCTCTGCCTTTTAAAAGGCTGAAATTAAAGGTAAATATAGCTGAAGTTACATAAGTTGGCCACGTTTTTTCTTCCTACTCATGATGCAAATGTATGTGTAGAATAAGATCACAGCATTAAGAAAAACTATGATGCAAATACTTAACATATGAGTTTTTTGAGTGCAGTATATTCAATCACCTCAAATGACAGCATTGGATTTTAATTTCTAAAGAATGTAGTATGTATAAAGTAAGCCATAGTTATTTTACCTCTCAAATCATGCATACAGCCTGATAACTTAATGGGAAGCCCCAGTTTTGTACTTAAGAGTACGAAAAGTACAAGAATCTGTACTTGTGGACAGATAATATATTGTGTGGAAAAGAGCCTTCTACTGAAAAAATATACCTTTTGATTAATCCATCCAATTTGTCATCTTGTTCAAGAAAAAGGATACATTTTTTGAAAATGCAGCTAATGTAGTGCATTTTAATTGCAAGAACTTCATTCATCTCTTTCTGTTTCATGCACTTCTCACAGATCAGATCTAATACTTTGTAACATTTCTGCATTGCTTCAACTTCTGCCAAAAGAGGATTTTCTTTCACCAGCAACACAACCTATAGAAAACATAGGGTAAGATATACTTCCTAAAACATAGCCAGTGCACAATTGGATATTCTTCTACATTCATGGCTCAAAGTCAAGTTAGGAAGGCCCTTGCACAGCTTTGTATGCCATTCCTGAAAAAGGATATTCTACATGCAGGTCACTCATGTCCTAGTCATCTTTCATATAAATTATGCATTTGATATGGGGCTACCCTTGAAGATTATTTGGAACTTATGTTGGTGCAAAATGCAGTAGCATGGGGCAGTTGTGTGTGAATCTACACTTATATATGTTATCTTTCTGCTCAATGAGTTGCACTGGTTACCAATTTGCTTCTAGGCCAATTCAAATTGCTTGTGATAACCTTTAAAGCTGGTGATAACCTCTAAAATCCCTCAAAGCTGGCTTATTTGAGGGACCCCTCCCCCCAGTGCCATGTACCAATACCACTGGGTCTGGCAGAAGAGACTTGTTGTAGTCCATCCAATACAAAGTGTCACCAAGAGAAGAGCTTTTTTTGCTGCTGTATGTGATCTATGAAAGAGCATTCTCCCAATGTCAGACTGATTCCAGTCTTGATGATCTTGGGATCAGAGTGATGTGGAGCCCATAAAATGACTGTTCATAAATTACTGTGTTTTCTAAGTGACTTTATCTACAATTTTAACTGATATATTTGTTGTGTGATTGCCTTATCTTACGAGTGTAAGATAGGCTGCTGTATAAATTAAATTTAAAAAAGGAAATAAAGTTAATTCTTTTTGAATTCTTTATAATAAGCATTAACAAGTGCAGTTTAACAGAACTGCACATGCGCTCTCTCTCTCCCCCTCTCTCTGGTGTGTATTGGTTATGTACATAAAAGGGTTAAACCCTTAATTATGACATTACTCGTAGTTACTCTCAGTACTGTCATGCCTTTTGAAACATAAGATAAAAATAATATAAAATGTTGCTTTCTTGCAAGTTTTTCTCTGCCTGGTTTTGCCGGTGAAATGTTTTTGTTTACTGATGTTTAGTCAATAAACATAAAGCTATATTTTTGCCAGTGCAATTAAGTGATACATGGAGGCATGGCCATGCTCACATATGTTGGTGCACAGTTGTGGCCATACCTGGGGCAAATGGATGTAGTTATAGCAACTCCTGCCCTCATTATTACATATATTAAGTATTTCAATACACTTGGGGCTGTCCTTACAATCTACTTGAAAACTATATCCCATGTGCTTACTAGTACTTATTCAACTTTGCAGGCTGCAGTAGTTACTAGTAAGTTTCCAAGTAGATTTTAAGATGCTAGGATTGACCTATAAAGCCCTTTAGGATTGGACACCTTCCAGATTGTCTGCTCTAATCAGTATCAGTGCAATCAGTTAGAATTGTTAGGGGGAAGCTTTTATGTAATTTTACACCTCTCAAAGTTTAAGATGTTAAGGCTAGATGGCATTGTTTCTCTGGCAATTCCAGTAACAATATAACTTAGACCAGGGCTTTTCAACCCATGGTACGCATATCACTGGTGGTACCTCGGCACCTGGCAGGTAGTATGCGTACGGTAGGTTGAAAAGCAGTGTAAAAAAAAAAAAAGTGTAAAAGTGTAGGCCTGTGGGAGAGTCAGCTGGAGCTGCAGTGTTGCCGGGGCTCTGCTGAGCGCCCAGGATCAACTCGGGGCTCCAACTGATTGGCGCACGGCTCAGGCTGATTGGCGCTTGTGTCTGCCTGCTTCGTCCTGCAAAGCGGGGCTCATCTGGCGCTCTTGCCCGATGTCATGCCAGCAGCCCTGGCGGGATCAGGAAGGCTCTGAAGGAGGCATCTGCAAGGGAGAGGGGGAAGCAGGATCCAGCCCTGTTGGGATCAGGAAGGCTCCAAAGGGGATAGCTGCAGGGGGGAGGGGGAAGCAGGATCCAGCCCCATTGGGATCAGGAAAGCTCCAAAGGAGATAGCTGCAGAGGAGAGGGGAAAGGCTCTGAAGGAGGTAGCTGCAGGAGGGAAAGGAAAGCAGGATCCAGCCCCATTAGGATCAGGAAGGCTCCGAAGGAGGTAGCTGCAGGGGGGAGGATGAAGCAGGATCCAGCCCCATCCTAAGGTTCCAAAGGAGGTAGTTCTAAAATCGATGTGCTGCTGCTGGGGAGAAGAATCAAAGTAGGGCAAAACAAGCATGATCCATCATGGTTTATTGATTGCCAAGTTTTCCTTAGGTTTTCCTGTCCCTTCCTGGGTTATTAAAATCACATAGGCAAGGTCTGTATTGAACATTTGGCTGCAAACTAGTCAACTGGATTTTAGCCTAGCCCTTTGTGCAATCCTAACCTACATTCTGGAGGTAAAAGGATGTATTAACAGGAGAGAACTGCAAAATTGATTTGTTATTTATTCTTGCCTTTAGTAGCAATAACTGTGTTCTTTGATGACTTTGCTAGCAACCTGCAGGCTGCGAACTTTCCTTCCCCCCTTGGAGAAAGAATTCAGAAATGCTAGTTTTATTTTTACTGCTAATTACAGTATACTTTATGGGTTTTTTTAAGAGCTGTGAGAAAAAGATGTGTCTGAAAATTAAAGGATGTATGGATTGAGTTATGAAACAGGAAAGGAAAGTAGATGGACTTATGCACTTCCAGTTGCTGACAGGTGTGCCACTAATATTCTGACTTGACACCTGCATGCTCTCAGGGTCCAAAGATTATCTTCATTCTTTATAGGCCAGTATTGTGAATTAACTAAGTTTTTCTGGGTTCTAATTTTAAGGTGAGTATCCTGAGCTATGGAGGCCTTTGATCTTCTTTAATACATAATAATAAAATAATGAGAACTAAAGGCTCAAAGGGAAGGTAGATTAGAAAGAACAAGACCTTTTGGCGTCTTCAATTCCCTTTCTGTTAAGAGTTCCTTAATAAGGTTTGCTCTTCCTTCCTAACATCAATAAAGATGGTTTTTCCAGAAAATATGTGAGGAGCTGTAATTAATGATTTAATTATGTTTTCTTTTTGGCTGTGTTTTAATTTATATAATGTATGTTTAATTGAGGAGGGCTTGGAGAAGTAGAAGTGGTCAATATGGAGGCTGCACCTTGCCCTCCAGACCTGCCTCCCCTGCAGATCTCTGGAGAGGAGGAGGGGGGTGGCAGGGGAACTGTGTGAGGGAAGGCTGCCCCAACAAACCAGCATCCTTACCACATACAATTGGAAATGGGAATTCCCTTTGAGAAGAGCCAGCCTTCCTTGTGCAGGACCTGGGAGCACTGCTTCCCTGCCACCTTCTCTTGCTCTCCAGAGATCTGTCAAGGCAGAAGTTGAACTTGGAGACAGTGGCTTCCTGCAAACTTTCTCCTCCGTGCTTCCACACGCAGCACGTTGTCCTCCACCTCCTGCTTTGCCAGAAGGGGACACCGGACAGGAAAACATAAATGATGTCTGGGATTGGAAGAAGAAGGTTTCCTCTGGAATGCTATGTGTGCGCACACGCACGCACACAAATATAAAACATTCCAAGCTTGGACACTTTTATCCACATCTGACCTAGCAAACTGCCAATCATACCTGGGCTTGGGGAGAAGGCCCTCTCCTTCCTCTGTGGATAAAAGTCCCCAAACCTGGAATGCGATGTATGCACGTGTGCGCATGCACTTGCTGCTAGCAGTTTGGGGAGATGAGGAATTTGTGGGGAACTGAGTTGTCCCTATATCGAGTTATTTGGTGCAACTTGTTCCATTCCAACCCAGTTGTCTCGAGTCAGCTGTGTCCGGTGAGTGGTGCCCATCTGCTAGGCGACTGGTGATACTTAAATATTGCCATATCCTAAAAGTGGTACAATCTCTGAAAAGGTTGAAAAGTCCTGACTTAGACATATACTGTTTCATAGTGCTTTACATCACTCTCTGAGCAGTTTACAATGTCAGCATATTGCCCCAAATGGGTCCTCATTTTACCGATCTTAGAAGGATGGAGAACTGAGTCAACCTTGCCCACCATCAAGATTGAACTCCAGGCTCTAGGAAGAGTTTGTCTGTAATACTGCATTTTAACCACAGTGCTACAAGGGCTCCTTTATATTTTGGACATCACACTCATCACACTGATCTTGTCCATGTTGATTTTCTGGAATCTTTTAAAAATTGTATTTCCTCTGTGGGCCTGTCATTGAGTCAATAGCCAAACTGCTTTCCATTTCTTGTTTATTTTCTGTTTCTTGTCATTTTTTATATCCTTAGTGTTGCATGTCAGGGCTGATATCCTAATCATTGTTATAACTGGTTGGAAATTTACCCGTGATCTTTTAAGTTAAAGTGTATCATGATTGAAGCAAAGTAGAAATATAATAAAATAAACAATCATATTAAGTTCCAGATGTGTTCTGCATACAACTGTAAAAATTCCAATTCAGCATGGCTATTAAATAGGTTTTGAGAATTGTACTACTAAATTGTACCACTGAATGCTGAACTCCAACACTGAATTAATTCCACACATCATAAAGTTGCCGAATTTGAAAAACACTGGTCTGTACATTCAAAAATCTGGGACACTATAGCAGAGAAAACATGAGTTTCAAATGAGACATTATGTGAAAATTGGACTCTAAAGCCACTGCAAAGACAACTGCATTATACAATAATAAAAATGCTTATATATGAAATCAGCTTTAAGATACAAATTAGGTATGTCACAGGATTAATTTCATTTTTCAGGTCCAATTAGCTGCCAACATGTTAAATAAACATATTCAAATAAATATATTCTTGTACCTTAACAGGATGCAAATTAGTAGTTGTAATAATTTTATGTAGAGGTCCAGCTAGCTTAATTGGAAGCTTGGGTTCTTTATCCAGTCCTTGTGGTTTTGTGTAGTAGTTTAGCTTTTCACGCGGAAAGAAATTGTTGATAACTGTTACACAATCATGCTGACCTAAAGAGAGCAATGATTTCCTTTTATGAAGTGAAAGACTATAGGATTATTAAATCACAGTTAAAACTGGTCATTTGGTGATAAAGCATAGTTTGCTAAAAAAAATACTGCATAAGACAGTGAAAATAATTTATTTGCTAATAATTGATAGATTCAAATCAACTCTTCTGTACAGAAAACCCAGGATCTAAAATAGATTCATTTTGATATATAATTTTAAATTCATTCCCATTTTTCAGGCCAGTATTTCTTTAGTCAAATGCGCTGTATCAATCCAATCTAAAAAGTATAGTTAGACAACGAGTTAATATTTCTAGAAATATCTCACAACTTTATATAAAAGTACCACATATTCAGAAGCACAATAGTGTATGGGTGTGTTAGCTAAAAGGGAGAGTACTCTTCCTACCAAAATATTTTACACTTTTTCACGATTTAATTTAACACATGATACAAATCAAGCTCCATTCTTTAACAGAAAACGCAGAAGGAGTCTTAAATATTTAGAAAGCAGAAGAATAGATTATAAATCTAATAATAAATGAGAATTAGATAGATCTTTACCCACAAAGGCAGCCATCTGAGCTGCAGTTCTTCCCACAGAATTGACCACATCAATCTCTGCTCCAGCCTCTAACACCATCCGGGTTATTTCTTTGTTGCCTAAAATGAAGAAACTTTATTTAGACTTTTTAAGGATGTTTTCACAAACTATAGATGAAATGTGTTTCCCTCTGATAGATATTAAAACTAACCCTTCTACTAACAAGAAGGAAATCAAATGATTGGTTTTCTAACAGAATCCATTACACAGGTTCAAATTCTTTTTTTCCCCTTATTGTACCTTCAATTGGAAGTATCTGGAGTCACAGAACATTTCTCTTTGCAAAGCTGAAACAAGCATCAACAAGCTTTCTAAAACTTTAATTGACCCACCTGTCCACCATTACTGTGATCAACTGATGCCAAAGATTCTGCATGTTCTCCAATTAGGAGAAAAAGAAAAGAGCATGGATCAAATAATTCTAATATATGGGAGAGAAAGCAGTTCTGTGGACATGACCCATCACTCAATTATTTATATTAAATCAAGCTACAAAATCTTATACCAAATTAAAATGCCCATCCCATTGATTTCCTCAAATTCTGTTACCACCTGCTTTTTTCTATCAGTACAACTCAAATAAAAATAAAATATAACTTTAAAAATATATACATCATTAAGAGATTCTTAAGCCATCAGATCAAAGTGAAGATTACCACTTTTATACATTTGGTAGAAAGCAAAATCTTCCTAACACTTCTGTAGTCCCTGAGAAAAGAACTAACAGGTTTTTTTTCTTTGCCTAAATAAGAAACTATATTTAAGAGAAAAAGGAAAACACTATTTACCTGAGAGTCCAGCAAACATTAAGGCAGTATATCCATATTCATGATTATTGCAGTTTACATCAGCTCCATGTTGCATCAATAGCCTGCATATATCAGTTTTACCTTTATATGCTGCATGCATTAGAGGGGTCATTCCATGCTAATGAAAGAATATATAAATGAAAGTTCCATTTGTTTTCTAGTTAACAGTACCATAGCAAGACTCATAACACTAATGTTAGGTGGACTTACAAAAAAAAAATTGTTAGAATCCTAAAGATAAAAATGAAAAATGCAGGGAAGCCCTAAGGCCCAGTAACAATGCAGGTGAACAGTATAAGAGTATAATATTTCTATTGTTACATAGCTTAACAAAAACATTTTAATTCCATTGCCTTAATATAACCAAGTTATTAAAGACAAGGATTTTTTTCCTCTATTTTTATATTTATGATTGCTACTTTTATTCACTTTTATCAATTTTCTGTTTATTATATTGTGGATATTTTATATAACACTTAGTGTCTGTTCTATGTCCATTTGCTTTAGAATGTTGTCCCATTATTTTGAATTTTACTGCAAATCTCTTTGAGATTTCTAATGGGAAGCAGCAGTATGAATTAATAAAAAAAATAGGGTTAAGAGGTTAGACAAAGTTGAATGATCATCCCAGGAAAGACTGTTTAACTATATTTTCTTCAAATTTCAGTAAATACTGATAAGAAAATGTATACCTAAAATTACATCAAAATTTCAATCAAAAGACAGATGTGGTTTACTAGAATGAATTGCCTTTAGTAGAACATGGCACCTGGATGGATTAAATCAAATTCTCTGGAGTACAGGAGCATTAAATATAGGGGAATATGATAATTTCATTTTCAAGTCATCTAGAAAATATGAATTGAAAATAAATATTCTTAGCTTTATTTGAATATACATATTTGTAATTAAAGCTAGTTGAAGGGCTATTTGGACTTTATATAGCTTGGAAAGATAGAAGCTTTAAAATGATTTCAGAATATGATTAATATTAACAAAAGATAGAAAATCTTTGAAAAAATGAATGCATTTGGAAGTTGTGTTGTAATCTTTTTTATGGTTACAAATTCAGAAGCTTATTTTGAATAAACACGTATAGGATTGCATTTGAAAGGTATTATTTCCAACACAATATCTGTATCTCTTCAGGCACTTCGCATTTCTTTTTCTTTTTAATAGCAAACAATGAAAAAAAACTAATAGCAAATACGGAATAATTTAACTAATGTTAAAACAAAAAAGTAAGACTTGCTCCATTATAAAATATTCAAAATCCATAGGGGGATAATAACTGTATTAGAAGCAATTAAACAACATAAAAATGTATAAACTTCCAAGTTTTCTACTACTAAAGTATGAAAAATTCTAGAGAGTCTAAAGCAGAGTTCCTCAACCTTTTTGGGTTGCGGCCCAGAGCGGGGGGAGGGAGGGGGAAGAGGGGATTGTTTTGTGGAAGGGGCAAGTGCATCCATGATGCATGAGGTCCTGAGCACGCATGCGAGTGGGGCTGCAAGCACCCACAATGCTTGTGCAAAAAGGCTCCAAGCACTTGTGCAAGTGAGGCCACGAGCACCCACAATGCTCATGCAAATGGGGCCCTAAGTGCCTGTATCGCTCGCAAAAATGGAGCCGCAAGTGCATGCAATGCTCACATGAGGCTCTGAGCACTTGCGTGAGTGAAGCCCTAAGCACTGTGACACTCATGCAAGTGGGCCCCCAAGTGTTTGTGCAAGTGAGGCCCTGAACACCCACAATGCTCGCATAAATGGGGCTATGATGCCTGCAACACTCGCATGAGTGAGGCCACAAGGACCTATGACACTCACACAAGTGGGGCCGTGAGCCCGTGACCTTTACATGAGGGGGCTGTGTATACACATACGCACACACCAGTCAGCCACTCACACGGTCCAGTTGCAAATAGGCCATGGACTGGTAGTAGGCCATGGCCCACAGGTTGGGGACCCCTGGTCTAAGCATATTTCTTTTTTTATTGATCATATTTCTACCCTACCCACCTCATCTAAGTGCTTTTCTATCATTTGTATTGCTTAATGCTACTACTTATCTAAAAGCGATCGTTCTTACTCAAGGTTAAATGCAGTTCAGGTATTGCTACTTCCTGGATCTTAAATTTGTGGCAAAATGTCTTGTTAGGTTTTATTTGGCTTAAGGAAACCTATTAGTTTCAGATAAAAAATATAATTTTGCTAAATGTTACCTCATCTAAACAATTCACACGGACAGTCTTGCTGCCAAGGAGTCTTGAAGCTTCTTCGGTGTTTCCTAAAAGTAAAAAAAGTTTATGAGAAGAAATCATAAAAAAATGTGTATTACATTATATAGTTTAATGTATTTATATAATTTTTCCAAGTATCCATAAATCTTATAAAGTATTTACAGTCACAGTTCATGACTGAATCTTGAGTATTTTCCAGCTCTATTTCAATTCTAATCATTACTCTACACTTTTAAACTTTAATAAAAATCTTTAAGACTATAAATTAAAGTTACTTTACCTTATTGTCCAAATACATTATTATTAAGAAATAATAAACTTATTTTAGATAATTTTTTTTCAAGATTTTTGGTCTTAGATCAATGATGGCATCATTTTACTGTTGGAAGAACACAATTAGGCCAAGGGTCAACCTTTGGGGAATTTAGCCCTTGCCTAGCTTTAGTTCTTATTAGTATTAACTGGTTTGATATGCTTTAGCCAGAAGTATATTCTGTGACTAATAAATATTGATAGTAAACTCAAATAAAGAGTTTTGTATTTTCAGTCAGCCTGCTTCTCCTATTTACTTTTTTGAGGAGTAACTGGGAAATTCAGAACCATTATCTCATTCTTCTGATTTCACACAAACAAAATGTTCTCATAGAACAATGATGCTTTGATGATTCATACATGTTTTGGGTTAAATGATCCCATTCTGATAACACTAACTGCATTTCTAGGTTCAGGGGAAATACTAGAAATTATATTAAAACAGGTTACAAAGAACATAGTGAAAGCATAAAATGGGCAGATACATATTTTTTGCCTGCTACCTCTGGACTTAAAGGATACAATCTTAACCACATTTAACACTATTTGGCATATTCCTTGTTTACCAGGATTTGTTTAACTTCAGTATTTAATAAGAAATATAGCAGGTTCTGATGCTGTTGACAAACAAAGCAACTGACTATTTTTGGTCAGTCTGCTAATAAATATATAATTTTTGATCCATTTGGTATGCAAACAATTTATTAAGTGCTAAGTTTATGTGCAGAAGTATAAAGTGTCAGTATAAAGTATAAAGTACCTCTATGTCTGAACGTAATTAACGCAAAACAATTATCTAACAATGGTTACTAAGAAGAATCCACTAGTGATAGTTCATGCATTAATTCTGAATATGAATTTTAATTTTCCATTCTGTTTCTATAAGCAGGAAAATATAAGCATATAATCTAAAAAAAAGATAGTATTTAAAAATTTCTATCAAATCATTCACATTGCTATGAAAAAAAATCAAGATAAAAAGAAACTATATTAGATTTTGTGGGAAGAAGGGGATTTTTTTTCATTTCATTAATATTTCTTAATTCTATTTATTATACAAATAAAAATAATAGTTAGATTGGTGCCACTTCTCAATTTTATGTATTATTTTAATTTTATTTCCGTGAGCTACACAAAGAAAAACAATTGAACAGGGTAATAAATCAACAGAATAGTTGAATGCACTTACAATAGTTCATTTAATGACAGTCTGAAGTTACAATGGCACTGAAAAAAGTGACTTATGACCATTTTTCACACTTACAATTGTTGTAGCATTTCTGTGGTCACGTGATCAAAATTCAGATGCTGGGCACAACTGACTCATTTTTATGAGAATTGCAGTGTCCCAAGTTCATGTGATCACTTTTTTGCAACTTTCTGGCAAGCAAAGTCAATGCTGAAGCCAGATTCACTTAGCAACCATGTTACTAACTTAACAACTGCAGTGATTCAAATGTGGCAAGAAAGGACGTAAAATGTGGCAAAATTCACTTAACAACTGTCTCACCTAGCAACAGAAATTTTGGGCTCTATTGTGGTTGTAAGTCAATGACTACCTATAGTTGATAATTGAAGTAGTTGAAAGCAAAGACATCAAGTCAAACCTCTAAAATGAGTTCCCAAAGTTAGGCCCACACTTAGAGCTAAAAATACTGTAATTCTGGCAAGCTTTTCCCCCCCTTGGAAACATATTCTGTTTTTTACCATTACTTAAAAATGCTCTCTATTATAGCAACTTCATTGCCATATCTGACAAGAACATTGAAAGACAAGCCTCAGATTATTTTTTTCAGCGTGAAGACAGCATAATATAATCATGCTATCTAATGTCAGGGAATATTCTGTCTGAAGTTTTTGAACCATTTTTGAAGACAGGCACCTGTTGATTTCAATATTCCAAATGTTTCCATTTGAGTGCATAATTATCAAAAGATTACTTATGCCCCAGTACAGTCATTGCTGAAGCATCAATCTAAGCTGATGGGAGTTACGCCATTTTAATGAATTTAGAAAACTCACAATATGAATCTAAACCTTAGAAGCATTAAGGAAAATATAGTCCAATGTATCTGAAGCAAACCTGAATAGAAAGACTGAAGTGTTCTATAAAGCAGCCACCTGTTTAGCTTAATGCAATTTTGAGCATGCAGTTAGCAAAGCACATTGTCTGATTCTCATCATGTGAATGAACTAAAGAGAGCATGAACTGGTTGTCATATAGTAATCATAAAAACAGAATATATTTGTATAAAAATATAGAAGGGACACAATCTGTCACTATCAGTCCATCTGTTAATTACAAGGAAGAATGATAAAGATAAAGATAATTCATGCTTGTAAAACCTTTATTTGCCAATATCTTTTTTGTAGTGGGAGCCACACATTAACAAAGTAACTAGATTAATCAACTGGAGTTATGGGATATGAGATGTAAAGGTTGATGATTGGGAAAGGGAAAGGCAAGCAATAAGGTGGGACACAGAAAGCTACTCTTAGGGAAAGCAGTCTTCATATTTTATACCAATTTGGCTCTGCTCCAGTCAAATGACTGATGCAGACTTTCTGTGGCATGGATTTCTGCCATTGCTGCCACTAGGTATTAGTTCAGCTTGGAATAAAGCTTGTTTCATCCAGGACTGAATAACAGGTAAGAAGGATAGCCTGGTATGTATCATTGAAACCTGGATAGGTGTTGGAGGTTGGGTAGTAAAGGTGGCCTTCAGGTTTAAAATGGGATTGCTACTTTTGTACCAGCCTGCCTGTTGCAAGTGGCTTCAAAGTCTGAGCTGCTTAATGTTTTGGCCAAACAGCTAATGGATCTCTTCAGATTTATGCTACTGAGGAGCTTCAATTTGCTTTCTCTAGATGAAGAATTGTAGGTAGTTCAAGAATTCATTGTCCGGATCAGAATACTGAAGGTCCAAGTTACTGCAAAATCCATATCTGGATTTTGTCTCAGGATAGTGGCAGAGACATCTGGAGGTAGGGGATATTAGCATCAATCATTTGTCATGGTCAGATCACTTTTTGACAGTCTTAAGAGTTCTTTGCAATTATTCCCATTGAAGAAAGGGAAGGTCGATCTGACTTGGCTGCTTCATGCACATGATGGATTTTGATGAATTTCAGAAGAAATTTGGGATGTTTCTGAAATCTGCTGCCTGGTTTGACTAAGGTCTTATCCATACATAGAATAGAGGAATGCCAGGAGATGAAATAGCAGAAGAGACACTTGGAAGCACACGAGGACTTAATTCAAGTATGCATGGTTAAGGATCATTTATTTTTGCTCATAAGAGTGACAAAACATAACTATTTTTCTGTTCTTGTCATACCTGCAAATAAGAAGTCAACAGCTCTATTCAAAGTAACCCACTCCCTCCTAAATAAAAACGGCATGCTGGCTGAGGAATTCTGGGAGTTGAAGTCCACAAGTCATAAAAGGGCCAAGTTTGAAGACCCATTATAAGTAGTTAAATGTCCTATAACACCAGAAAGACCACTACAGTTCATACACGACCAGGCCTAGATTTAATGGAACTCAAGTTCATTACACAGACAGATCTGAACTAGCAACTTCTCCATTGATGTCCTTATCTTGTATTGGAACAAGCTGCACCTTGTTAAATCTTACGTTCACTGTCGGAAAACAACCCGCTTTAAAAACCATCGGACCTAACCACGAGGTTTGCATAGCGGTTCGCCGCAGTCACCAAAAATAGCTGCCTCCAGCCATTCCAATTGGGAGAAACAAAACCTTCGCCGTCTGGGCCTGAACAAGGAAGCAAACCAGCGAATGCAAATTGAGACAGTACCGCGTTGCAAACCACTCACCGCTGCTAATGACTTCAAGCAATGCTTTCTCCTCCTCATTCAAGTCTCCTCTCTTTGGAAGCGCCATCGCCTATTTTATGTGTATTCTTCCTTTTTCTTCCCTTCCTGCCAACGCTAATAAAATGGAGCGTGTTAGCTGAGCCAACAATGTTGCGCTTTACTAAAGCCTTTCCGCGCGCGCTCCAACCTCATGGCCGGTATCACCTTGTCACCGGGAAGAGGGGAGGTTTAAAGCCAGGTTGACATGTACACGGTAATAATACATCGCTTTGCGGCACCTGAGCGGCTTGGTCGGTCACAAATATATGTGCGAAGAAAAAACTAAAAGTAGCAATTTAGGAATATGCTAAACTGGCCATCCCGCTCCTGACTATGATTAATCTCCCCCTCTTTGGTTATAATGGTGCGGTCTAGCCGTGAAGTAGGCGGAGCTCAGACTGCTTTTAGGTGTCAGCGTGCGCGCTCTTCACTTCTCCATTGTGTGTGGACGCTGGTCTCGTCTGCGTCTTCCTGCTTCTCCTTAGACCAGAGCCTCTTCCCCGGCACAGGTAAGCGAATGTTGGGTTGTGGGGAAGCGGCTCCTTGAGCAAAAAAAGGTCAGAAAGCGAAGAGGAGAAAAAGTTGAACAAAAGAAGTTGTTGCTGCGGCAGGAGGCATAATTACTCTGGCTTTAAAGGGCATAGAAAAAGAAAGACTTTTGTCTTTTCCGACAGGTTTGACTCCTTAGCCTATCAGTTAGTCAGGCTTCGGGCTAAAGGCTTTCAAGCGACTGCAACAGCAGCGGCGGAATATCTTTGGAGGAGAGAGGAACTTTGTGGTGGAAGAGGTGTACGTGCGTGACTTTAGCAAGGTGACACGGGACAAGAACATGCTGGGTTGGAAGCAGCACTGAGAGCTTTTAAAGCTTTCATTTGTGCAGCCTCTTTTGCGGGAGAGCGGGCCAGAAACTGTCTTTGCGTGGGGATTTAAAGGCCTCGTAATAGGGATTTGGAGGAGGGGAAAAGAACAATTCGCGGTCCCAAGACTGTTTCCAACTGCTTGCTAAAATACGATGCTAAGAAACGTGTTGGGCACGGAAGTAGTACTGGAGGGAAATCATAGACGTTTCATCTTTTTCTGATCTCTTTGGGAAGGCACTGCGCTTGGTGAAACGGTTGTAAACGAAGGAAACGTTTTGATATTTTGTAATATCCCAAAAGCAGGTACGGGTTGCTTGAGGCAGTGAAAGCTGGCTGGTCTGCACTGCTACGGTCCGATGGTTGTCTGGTTTGGGAGTCTTTAAAACCAAACTGTGTCTCTCTGGGTGGCAGCGGGGCATGCAATTTTATTGCAGAAGCGCCCTTGGCATCCAAGAAATCTCAACTAGAGAAGTATAAATTTCATGTGTTGCATTTTATGATAACCTCAAATATTAGATTATTTATCTGACAGTAAATTCCATTTTGGCTAAATTCCGAATTGTCAGGTGGGTTACATCTATCAAAAGGAACCAGTGTATAGTTGGAATGTAATTCATTAATGTACAGGTGTTTTTTTTTTTTAAATATATTTCAAAGTGATTTGAGATTTGTGGTAAAAGGTAAGTTGGGGGATAACAAATGTCTTGAAAAATCCTTGTACCAAACTGAAACTTTTTATCTCTGTCACTCTGAATGCTTTTTTTAAAAAATAAATTTACATCCTATTTAAATTTCTATGGATTTGTTTGAAGGCATTCAAGTTTATTATGCCTTAACTGGGTAGGGAAGACAAACAGCTTAAAAATAACATTTATTAAAATTGTTCACAAGGTTTACTATTCCACTGAAAGATACTGTAGCAATCAACCAGTAATGTAAAGTCACGGATTTCAGATTTTAAGATTTTTTGAGGAGATTGAATAGATGTAGGATGAAGTCTAGATGAAATCTAGATGATTTATAAAATTAGGGTTTCTTGCTTCTTTTATTTTTTGCTATGGGTTAGTAGAAATTCTATTTTACAATATGGTTTATTTAGTGGAATACCTTCTGAATATGACTTTGAGCGCCGTATTCTAAACTATTGCACAGAAGAGATTTGAACATAGAAATACTTCTGTGAAATCCAATCCAATGCTCAACAGGGTTATAGAGAAATCTCATTATCGAGACCCTAATTCCTGCTAAGAGATCTAGTCTATAGTAAGAGTTTTTTCATTTAGATATTCATTAGATTCTAATAAAATATTAAGCAGAGACTTTTGAGTAAGGAACCTAGAATTATGACCATCTAGTTTACAGATGTAGTAGTATAAAATGCTACATAATATCAAAGAATAAAAACATAGAGGAAGAGGGATTTTGTTCTTTGACCTACATAAATATTATTAAATAAACATTTAAAGTTTCACAAATGCAATATTAAAACTATATAATTTAACATTGGTTTTATTAAACAATATAGTAAAACATACAACTACTTTTTAATATTTTATTTGTCAGTTTTAATTCTTGTTTGGCTATTAGAGATTTTTCTATAGCTTGCAAATAAGTCTGAGAAGCATTTTATACTATTGATTGTATTAGGCTAATTACACAAGACCAGTATTTTCCAGTAGATGCACATCTGCATCCAAGTTGCTCCACATCCAATATCATGTGCCAGGCATTTTCATGGAGAGCTGCAAAAATGGGTAGAGATGAGGGAAAGAACTACTACCCTAACCTGTGTAAAGCCTTCTGAATCAGATAAGATCCAGTTTGTGTAGTAGACCAGAAACCAGGAAACTGAGTTCTAGTCTTAGAAGTCAACACTAATTCAAGTGATGCAAGGATCTTCTAGTTGTTTGTCTTTGTTTTTTGTTCTTTGTTTATATTACCAACCAGTTTTTAGCAACTATGATCAAAGGTGATTATCAGAGCCAAACGAAAAGAGCTAGAGCATCTTGCTGTTCTCCCTGAAAGTTACCAATCCCCTGTAATAAAGGATTATACTCTTTTATACTTTGCGGTTATGTTTATCTGGAAACTATAAGATCTGTAATCCACCACAATTAAGGTCTATATTATTAGATGAATTTGTCACTTGTGATAATTTGTTCCATTTTGTATAATATTTCTTGGTACTTTATCATTCTTGGACCATTATTTAAGAAAAACACATAGTTGCATGATTCTAAACCAGATATGCAGTGAAGTGAAGATTATTCATAGGTGGATTGATAAACATGTTTAATTTGGAACAAATAGATTAAAGTTTTCAACTATTGTTTTCTTCCTAATAATATTCTGAAATGGCAATTCATCATCCTGTCCTTATGTTCTATATTAAGCTACACAGTGTAGTGCCTAGTGCAGATACTGCAACTTCTGTTATTATCTTAATCTTTCTCCATTGTGTAACATTGGACAAACTTAAGATTGTCTTTTTAGTACTGCTTCCTTTCCATTGTGCTTTCTTTTCAAAAGTACAAATCTTATGCCACTGAAGATTGCAAGATAAAATTGTATAAAGCTTTATAAGTATCTCTACACTAAAACATTATTTTAAGTATCTAGAGCAAATAATAGTATTTGGCAAATAATAATAGCAAATATTGATTCAACTATAATGAATTATATGTCTAGATTCAAATTAAATCACATTTGGAATAGGCCTACACATTTGGAATAGGACTTAAACTACTCAGTACTTCCCACGCTCTATTTAAAGTATGATAAATGTAACTACAGTTTGTTCTTAATTCAAGAATACAGATTAAATGCCTCTTTGTTCCTTTATAAAGTATATGTGTGTTTTACGTTAAAAACATAAAATTAGTATTTTTACTTGAAAGATATACCATTAAAATAGCTATTTTTGTTCAGAATATAGCTATGGAAAGATAATTGGTAAATGGAGAAATCGTGTCAGTTAATTTTTTCCCAAATAATTGCCTTCTCCACCAAAATAGTAAAATGTATTTAATTTATTGATTAGCTTTCCTAGTAAAAATATGTTTCAGGTTAATGCTGTCACCCAAATGATACATAAAATAAGATAAATACTGGATAAAAATGTCAGTCCTGTTGCAAAAAAAAAATATAACAAAAGGAATCAAGAGCTGTATTTTGTACAATGGCTTTTTACCCTTCTATATAAGATACTCTGTGTTCATCTCTAGTTTGTGTTTATATATACATACATACATGTATGTATGTATGTATGTATATGCATATATGTGTATATGCATCTCTCTCTCTCTCTCTCTCTGTGTGTGTGTGTGTGTGTGTATATATATATATATATAGGTCTTTGGTTGTTCGGGTTTTCTCCCGCGTAAAATTGAAAGTGTCTTGGCGACGTTTCGATGAAGTCCCATTCATCATCTTCAGGCTGGTGACGGGCGCACCAAAAATGAAAGTATTGGGACTAAAAAGGAAAGTTACTTTAAAAGGAACAATTGGGTAGGATATGGCTGTGAAAGGAACGTGGAATGTGCACTATCACCTGAACCTGGGGGGGGATTAGAATGCAAAGACAACCGAAACAACTGGAGTTGCCACCCAACCACCCCAAGGTTGAAAGAAATAAGGATGGATGAAGATAGAAATGCAACCAAAAAGAGAAAGGAAAAACAGGTTAACCGTACGCAATTGAATCAATCAGGCCCGATAACAAGGTCAAGGAGCCGGGCGCAAACCTTGACACGCCTATAAAGGACTTCCTCATTCACTGGCGCGCTAGCCCTGAAGATGCCGGCAGGTGACGGCGAAAGCTTGGCGCTTTTAATTAAACTTTTATAGTTTTAATTAATTAAAAACTTTTACAGTTTTTATTACCCTGGTGTTCATTTTATTTCTTTACTATATATATATATATATATATATATATATATATATATATATATATATATATATATATATATATATTTCATATTGAAGTAATGAAATAGGTACAAAAAACAGTAAAATAGTGTTTTGCATTTTATTTTGTTTTATTTTTGAATTAGAGAAAGGAAATGATAAAGAATAATAAAGTCTTTTTCTTATATCCTGGATAATCAGTGAAACTTAATTATGAGTTTGGCACAGATGAAAATGTTTTGAAATAATTCTTCATGCCATGCCTAATGACTTTTGTGATAACTTTGAATTGGCATTATTTAGAACAGAGAAGAATAAAGTTAGTATTTTTCTAAAGAGTAATATTCTGGGTCAAGAGTTAAGCATTTAGTTTTAGATAATGATTCTTCCTTTCTTTGGAATATACTTCCAAGCAAGCTTCTCAGTTTTGGGATCTTGCATAATAAAATAATACATTTCTATAAACTTCTTTCCTTTGCTTAAAATTTAGGCTTAGGCTTATGTTTATAGCTGAATTAGATAGAGCACAATTAAGACTTGTGTGTAATGCTTTAAAAAAAATAAATTGCAGGGACTGGGCCCCTCCATAATTTCAGGAACACTGGATTTTGGATTTATATTATTTATACTGGGAAAAATGTTATAAGAGATACATTTCAGAAAGGGAAAAAAAATCAAGCAACAACAACAACAACAACAATAATAAGTTGGAAGGGACCTTGAAGGCCATCTAGTCCAACCCA